TATATATATAAAAAGATAAAGAAAAAATCATAACACGGCGAGGAAAATTAAAATTCGTTGAATCGTTGGTAAACTTCACAAACGATTTTTTTGTTTTTAAACAATATTCAATAATTTAATAAAATATATTTAGTTTATTCCAATTTATTTATACCGTCAGTAGGTAATTCGTGAATAGATATTTCAAAAAGGTATCAATTTCAAAAATCGTTGTGAAAATCTGTATTTTTGTATAAATTCATTGTTCCTTGAAATTCAGAAGTGCCAGGAAAACGCGTGACCTTGAAAATTTTAAAATTTTTCGCCTGCGGCGCCATTTACAAGCTCTCCGGGCACTTAATATCCCGGAATTCAATTCAACAAATGTAACAATTCTAAGCAGAACACATTCAATCAATGTACACGCGCCGCCACTGCACATAATTCACTACTTTTGTGCACAGGGTCTGCTCTACGACTCAAAAAACGGAGGAATAATGAATTTAAAAAAAAACTCCTATTTTCCTATTTTCCCCGGCTTTCTTCGTTTCTAATTATCAAATCGGATCGATCGACCTCTGGTTTCATTCGTATTTCGATTCTCTACAAATTGTCTCTTTATAGCATTCAGATTGCTTCGTTAGTTTAGGTTTTATATTGCAAAAACTTAAAAAATGCGTTTTTTTGCATAAAAATGTTTATAAGAAATTAATTAATGGTAAATTGGAGTAGGAAACATCTAAGCATGTATCTACAGACTGTCTTTTATATCATGACAAACAGTCCGTTTGGTATTAGTACTCATGTCACAAAATCACTCATTTAATGCTCTATTTAATTGACTTGTCACTGAATTGAGGGAGTACCGCCAACAATGTTAGAGAGCTGAATATATGGTTGCATAGTTTGTGACAATAATCGGACTCGAGCGGAGACAATTTAACTGGTAATAACTATATGCAGCCAAACATACACTTAGTCCAAATATGACGAACGAAGGAATATTTTACATATTAGATTTATAATTATAACTGGACTGCTGTACACCTATGGGGAAATAATCAACAGTTACCATTTTATTTATCTTAAATGTATGTAATGTTTTCTTTTAATTAACAAATATTTTTTATGTATAGAAATATAAACGCACAATATTATACATTTTCCGTTTGTTTTTAATTTTTCCCTATTTGCTTCCATTTAGAAAGACTGAAAAAATATAAATCACAATAAAAAAGTTTGGCCAAAGAATAGATAATTCTCCTTCAAAAAAAAACAACCAAAACAAATCTGTTAAAAAATATGAAAAAAAAAAAATTTTCCCCTTAGACACCGAGAAAAGTTTAGCTAAATCTGTCATTTCTTATAACCACAAAAATTGAACCTCAGCTGCTTTGTTGAGGATCTTCTGACTATTGATAAGTTTATAAATATATACAGGGTGTTCCTAAATAAGTGTCGCAACGGAAAACTGTAAATTCCTCTGGAAAAAAGAAACATTATTTTCCTCTTCCATTTTTCTCTCCGGGCTTTCGTTTTCGAGATACACGGTGTCAAAACTTACAGGACTGAGCTTTTGTACACACATTACCACTATTAATAGCTACTTTTTCGCACCCTTCTCGAATTCATTGGACGTGCCAGTGGTGGAGATTTTAAGGTATCGTAAGGGTTTTTCCCCCCCAAATTTTACGCCACTGGAAAAATTGACTTTTGACAGCAAATTCTAAAGCGCCAATGAATTTTACACAATAAGAGTTCTCTTGGTTCATTGCTCTAAAGTCAACCGTTTTCAAGAAAAATGACTTTTTATGAACAAAAGCAAACATTTTGCTAACGTTTCGAAAATCTTTTGTAATTCAAAAAATAGGTAGTAATAATTAACAATTTTAACGAAATTTAACAACAGATAGGATTTTAACTTTTTTTTATCAATTTGGCGAGTAAAATTTACAGAAACTGTTCAAAATTACGTCCGTTGGCTTGAATGCACGCATTACATCTTCTAATCATGTTTCTTTCTGCCGCTGCGGCTTCACCTCTATCGGTCAACTTTTCGATAGTATTGACATGGAACGTTAGCAAAAATGTTTGCTTTTGTTCATAAAAAGTCATTTTTCTTGAAAACGGTTGACTTTAGAGCAATGAACCAAGAGAACTCTTATTGTGTAAAATTCATTGGCGCTTTAGAATTTGCTGTCAAAAGTCAATTTTTCCAGTGGCGTAAAATTTAGGGGGGGAAAAACCCTTACGATACCTTAAAATCTCCACCACTGGCACGTCCAATTAATTCGAGAAGGGTTCGGAAAAGTAGCTATTAATAGTGGTAATGTGTGTACAAAAGCTCAGTCCTGTAGTTCAAACGATTCCTAAGATATTGGCGAAAAACTAAAAAAAATTAAAGTTTTGACACCGTGTATCTCGAAAACGAAAGCCTGGAGAGAAAAATGGAAGAGGAAAAAAATGTTTCTTTTTTCAAGAGGAATTTACAGTTTTCCGTTGCGACACTTATTTAGGAATACCCTGTATAGGGCTCAATTTTATACATTAGATTTTTTTCAATTTAGATCAGAAAAAAAAAATCGGAACTGAAAGTTCCATCAAAGCACAGAAAAATCTCCAAAAACAACAAAAAAACCTCCCAAAAAAGTGAATTAAATAAGTTATTTTACATCAGAAATTCACAGGATTTTACATAGTCGCTAACGGTACCGAGGAAAATTCGCTACGCAATGCTTTCTTAAGCACGTGACAAAATTTAAATTTTCACAATTTTAGCATCTGCAATTGATTATGCAGTCCTGAAAGAAATTAAATTTTCATGTAAGCTGCCTGTACCGCCAAACCCGTCACTTACAACCATGAAAACCCAACCTCAGTTGCTAGGTTGACGTTTTTCTAAATATTTTTTATGCATATACCAAACCTTTCCGTTTGTTCCCCATCTTTCCAATTTAAACCTGAAAAAACTAAGAATCAGAAACAAAAAGTTCCGTCAAATAGAAAAACCTCCAAAGATAAAAAAAAACAGCCAAAAAACACGAAATAAATAATTTATTTTACCAAAACAGAACATCACAGATTTTTATCGTAAAACCAACGCCACCTACTGCCACGAGAACCCCACCACGGCCGCCTTGTTGAGAATCTTCCTTGCCGTCTCCGGGAACAGCGCGCAGAACTTGAACCTCTCCCCCATCTTCTCCTCGTCCACCAAGAAATTATAACACTCCGTCAGATTCTCCAGCTGGTCTTTGTCTTCGATGTTCCTGGCCAGAGCCTTGAACCTGTACTCCAGCCCGGTCTTCAACAGGAAGTTCTTCTGAGTGGAGGGGCCCAGCGTAATGACGCCATCTACCTCGTTCGCGACGTTCCTCAACAGACTGAAGTCGACGTCGGCGGTGAGATCCGCCGTCCCGGGCAACACCAGCGGGTCCACCTGTTGGTGCTTCTTGAAGGCGCGGAACGTGTCGGTGCCGGTGCCGTTGTGGCCGTAGTCGCAGACCAGGGCGATGCCGCCCGAGAACTTGACCCTCTCGCAGATGGTCCTAAAGATCGCGATGCTGTCGGGGGATATCTCGACGTGTTCCCGGGTCTCGTCTGGCTTCACCAGCAACTTGCTCATTGGGGTCTCGTTGCGGGCCAGGGTGTACCTAAAAACAAGAAACAAAATTTTCAGGAAGTCAAAATTCGGCGTACAAACATTCTGAAACCGTAGAAAAAATAAGTGAGGACTCGGAAAAGTAACCCAGCGCCATCTAACGTCCTCCTGGAATTGTGCCATCAGCACTAATTTGTACAAATATGCATAGATGGCTTTTAATTGCCAGTGTTGCGAGAAACAACTACTACGAGGGGTATATGCCCCTACTGGCATTGAATTATACTTGCGGCACCTACTGCAACAGCTAGGGTCGTTCGTCTGTCAGTTTAACCCACCAGGCACAGACCGGTTTCGGACTTATTAGTCCTCATCAGTGTGTCATAGTTGAGACAACCGACGAACGATCCAGCTGTTTTGCGTCGCATCGTCACGATAAGGAAATACATTGTACGCGGGAGCAAATGGCTCCATCCAATTCAATGCCAATATAGCCCTCGGAGTAGTTGTTTCTCGCAACACTGGCAATTAAAACATTGTCTTCACTCTCTGTGGGTGGCAGTCGTGCAACAAGTACCTGCAATATAGCAGGTCGCTCCCTACTGTAGCCATTCGAATGGAACAGTTGGGAGTCAGCACGACAGATGGAGCCATTTGCTTCCGCGTACGATGCATAGATGGCGCCATAGTCAGAGATTAATTTACTGTTCGATTTTCTATTCATTTTTTAACGTCCACATTAACGCGAAATAAAAAATAAAATAGTGCAATCTGAACTATTTTGAAGGCTGATTCAACAGAACAGCATTAAAAAAAATTGAGACTAACTCTGAGATCGCGGGTAAATGAAACATGGATCTAGCAGTCCAGGAAAATAAGGAAAAATTGGATGAATTCTTTTACTCTGAGATTTTTTTTATAGAAAAATGTAGGTTTTGAGGTCAGAAAGCATGTGTCATATAAACCACCAGCAACATACAGCGTTTTCAGATATATACACGGTATCCAATTTTAATGTACTAGGCCGCATAGTTTTTTTAATTCGACTTTTATAAAAAAATATTTCGAACGAAAGTTATCAGGTTTCCAGGGGGGCAAATTATGGTGACCTTGAAGTCAATTATCAAGGTCGTTTCAAGGCCAACCTTGATTTTTTAAATGGAAACCCATATTTTCATTACAGGAAGCCTTTTCAAGAAAAAGATTTCATACAAAAGTTACGTATTTTTTCCCGCACAATACGAATCTGCAATAAAAAATATGGGTTTCTATTTAAAAAGTCAAGGTTAACCTTGAAATTACCTTGACTTCAAAGTCAAATTCAAGGTCACTACAATTTGACCCCCTCGAAACCTGATAACTTTTGTTCGAAATATTATAAAAGTCGAAGTAAAAAAATTATGCGGTCTGGTACATTAAAATGGGACACCCTGTATAAGATTTTTCGTGTTTTTTGAGCAAAAACTGCCAATATCTCAAAGAAGACGCATTTTTTCGAAAAAAATTTCAAATAAAAGTTGTTCAAAATTAAATTTCCTACAAAATAGCTCCCAGGAAAAATTACGATTTTCCCAATAGTTTTCCCGTATATTTTTTAAATGTGGTACAGATTATATGAAAATTAATGTTTTGGAGCCAAAATAATGGCCAATTCATTTTTAAATAACAAAAGTGAATTAGAGAAAAAAAAAATGCGGAAAATTCTTGGAAAATCTTATATCATTTTCCGAGGCTTGAATATTTTTGAGTACCAAACGTATCATTTTATAGGTTTTCAAGGGTGTACATTACGATTATGCGTTTTTAAATATTTTCCAGAGAAATATGTTTTTTGATTTTTTTTTATTTTGAATATTAAAAAATTCTGAATATAATGAAATGGAAAATTTAAATTAGTTGACAATAGGAAAGGAATTTTCTGCAGTTGCAAAGGTATAATTAAAAAAAATTATATTAATATAATTTTTTTTATTTATTTATAATTATTAAAAATAACTTTCTTTTATTTATTATATTTAACAATTATTTATGGACCTCCATATCTAGATTTCTTAAGTAAAACTGCTTTGTCGCTATCGCAAAAAAATTTCAAAGGAAAGCTTTTTCTGGAAAATATTAAAAAGCACATAATCAGTTCGTGATGTACACCCTCGAAAACCTATAAAATGATACGTTTGATTCAAAGAATTTTTGGCAATTCTCTTTTCTCTAATTCACTGTTGTTTGTATTTTAAAATGAATTGACTATTATTTTGTCCCTAATGTTTTGGAGCCAAAAGTTCCAATATTCCGCCTTTTTATGTTTAACTTTCCTGGACTATAGTACAAATTCATCATTGAACTAATTTTGAATTTATCGTTTGTGGATTTGCGCATGTGCTGCATTATTATGCAATTATTTTTCATTATTCAAGCTGTCAATTTTCTGTAATACAAAGAAACTGCTGTCAAAAAAGCGCCATCTGTCTGTTTGGTGGCAACTATCACTGTCAACTTGCTTCAAGGTCAGATCCTAGCAAGCTTAGATGTCAGTCTCTTTTGTTTTCAAACTAAGGGCTTTGCTTTACAACCACAAATATAAGAAGTGATAGATAAGATAAATGCCACTGCCAATCCTGCCAATTTGATATTCCTCCCAATCATCGATGCTACGCTATTTTGTTATAAAGCTCCGTTAAGTTAAACTAAATGGAAAATGACAGCTTTCCAATCTATTTCCTTACAAAATAGTTATTTTTTATTCTAGTATCGTTTTTTTAGAGTGCCAGCGAGTAAGAGTAGTTCTATGCTAATATTATTGAAAATATGCGTGTCTACCTGAATTTTGGCAGGCTGTCGGTGGTCTCGTCACAATCAATGTCGATGAGCACCTCCTTGTACCCGTTGAAAGTCTTGTGGAACTTGTGTATGGGCAGCGCGTCGAAAAACTCGTGCGCCACGATCAAGCTGAAGGAGTGGGGGACGTCTTCCAGCTGTTTGTGCCAGAATACGGGGATCCCGTGGTGGGACATCCCTAAATTTAATAAATCAAAACGTAAAATATCATCTGCCCAGCCCGAGAATTTGTTTTTGAAGGTTAATTATAACGAAAAAGTTTGATAGCGACTTTGATGTCTCTATTAGTTACCTCTCTTATACACGGTGTCACTTTCGGGGGTAGGATTCGTCTCGTTACACAACTGCTTCGCCTGCACCTCACTCAAAGTAGGACTGATCTCGACTAGATGGAGGCTAGCTTTGTGCAGGGCCTTGAAATGGCTAAACACCCGTAAAATATCGTTACACAACGTACCTCTGCCTGAAAGATGAATTGCAGTTTTTTTTAGAGCTGAAAATGTATTTGAAAATATCGTGCAAACCTGGCCCAAGCTCCACAATCTGCACCGGCTTGGGAGACCCCATCTTCTGCCACTCGTTGAGAAACCAAACCGCTATTATCTCGCCGAACATCTGTGTGATTTCGGGCGAAGTAACAAAGTCTCCCGTATCACCAAACATGTCCTTGTGCATGTAATACCCAGCCATTGGATTGGTCAGTACCTCCTTCATGTATTCTGCTACAGTCACTGGCCCCTTAGCTCTGATCTTTTGGTGGATGTGCTTGGCTAGGTAGTCCTCGTCCACTTTGACCTTTCTCTTGACATTGTAATAAGTCCGCACGATTGTAAAGTTTTTTACGGTGAATTTTGGGTGGCGTACACGCGAAAGTATCATGTTTAATTTCGAGATTTCAGAACGGTGCATTCACATTTTTGGGACGTCTAAAAAAACAAAAAAAATATTGACATCACGTCACGGTGAAGCCAAAATATTATTTCTTCATGTAGTCGTGTTATTTGAGAATGTTTGAAGTTAACAAATGTTGCCTTAATATAGACAAGATTTAATATCTGCTTACAGAATAAAATTAGAAAACGCAAAATTAAAAAAAGGTTATGTTGATATCCATCCAAGTAGTCCAGTTATTTAGAACAGTTGGTAATTTGATATTTGTCTGTTGGTAATCATTATTGGATTATAAAGGCCATTTTACACTTTTACATTAAACATGTTAGTGAAGGCAAGCAACCAACAGATGGCATAGAACAAAAAATTGAATATTTGTGAGGAAAACTATTAAATCTATTAGTGATATTTGACCATTTCTACGTTTATTGTCTATATTCTTTAGGTGCTTCTAGAAAATATGTTGCTATTTACTTTTAAATTGAAAGTTTAAGACATAGTTCAATACTACATCAGTGTGATAATCATATACAAATCTATTAGAAATTGTATCATTTATCTTCCTAAGAAAGGAAATATCAAAAGTATGTGAATAATTAAATAAAAGACTAAAACTAATTACCAAAAACATTGATTTGGCTACAACTGCAATTTGTCAAAATAACAACAATAAGCTACAGAAACTAAAGGCGTTTTTCACAGTTAAAATTGTAATATAACAACAAAACAATGTTCAATAATAGAGCAATATGTAATACAAATAAAATCCACAGTATTCAAAACAATTATATTTATAACTATATTCCCAAGTATCGATCAGCAATTTTAAAGTCTCTAGATGAGTTTAAGCAGGTTTAATTGTGGGAAAACTCTTTTTGCCAACCATTAATAATGTTCCAGAATTTTCAATACATTTATACGAAAAAAATGATTTATTTATTGATATTACTACAAAATTAAATTTTAATTTTTAGCTCTTTTATATATAAACAACACAAATTGATATATTATGTCAAACCGTCGTTTTGAAAAACAAGAGCATTGATTTGCCAGTTTAGAGACATTTAGCAAATTGACAAAACAGCGCCATCTCACGGTTATTTATTTCTTCCTGGCGAAATCTGTTTGTCCACGTTTAAGGCTTAAGGGTCGATAATAAAAACTACTATAAATTTAACCTACTCTTGAAAATTTCTGAAAAATAAAAATAGTCCAAATATATTCCATATTTTCATGGATTTGACAGATAATTTGGACTATAATAGTTTTTGAATTATCCTTTCACCAAATAAAAAAGTTATTTTACTTTTTGCACGAATCCATATGTTGGTTAGCAAAGTAAATTTAATCAGGCACAAAGGTACAAATATTTTTCCACGTTATGGATGAAATAAAAAATCCTAAGGCATATCAGACCAGAAGAATTACATTTTCAGCTTGTCACAGACTCCACAGGTGATGTTTATTGATTTTTCTTCGTATAAATCAATGATTTAAGTAACTAATTGCAGTTGTATTATTTTACATTCAATGTGTTATAGCCCCTATTTGAACGATGTTGAAAATAAAGAAGTTTTCGGTAAATGCAACCACATCAATGGCCACGGACATAACTATATTGGTAAGTGTTATAATTTAGTACACAGTAATTTAGTCTGTAAGAATTTGGTCATGAAATAGTTCTGAAATTTATTCCTTCCACTTTTTTGTTTAGTAAAGGTTACGTTGTTTGGTGAAATTGACCCGAGAACCGGTATGATAATGAACATGACTCAGTTGAAAAAATTCATGGAGGAAGCCATAATGCAACCCATGGACCACAAAAACTTGGACAAAGACGTAGAATATTTCTCATCAAGACCCAGCACTACCGAAAATTTAACGGTCTTCATTTGGTACCGCATGAAAGAAATTATGGACAAACCCGATTTGCTGCACGAGGTGGAAGTATATGAAACGGAAAATAATATCGTGAAGTATCGCGGCGAATGAAGCATACTGAAAAATCCGTTTCAGATCCAATTCAGCTTCGTCATTCCTATGTTTTTAATATTTATATTTTTAATTTCATTTTTAAACTAATAGGTACGCTGTTAGTTTACGGCTAAAATAAAACGATTATATGATTAAAACATGTTTATTTATATACAATGAAAAAGTATTACTCAGTACAAATTACAATCACAGTAAATCAAGGATCTAACTTAGGGAAGGCGACAAATTTGTATTTAAAACGTTGGCTTTGTACTTTAATTTCTCGACATTTTCGGCAGCCTGCAATTTATCCTCTTCCAACAGCCTTTCTGTACGTTGTTCTTCGATAGATTCTAGAAAGCCACAATAAGAGGCACAATTTTTAAAATTTATATATAGCCCACTTACTGTTGTATGGGGTGTACTTGTCAGACATCCAGTTTTCTAGGTTATAGCCAATAACGCCGACTAAAGCTGCAAAAGGGAGGGTAATATATGGAGCGTAACTCCTAAGGGCGCCCATTAATACTGGCCACATCTAAAAATACGTACAATCAATCGCAAAGGCAGCGCAAAATAATTTCATTTACCTCTTATACTTAACCTCAAAAATGTACCTAGATTTGACTTTGATGCGACATTTGAACTAAAAACATGTGCAAGTGGTATATAAACAACTAAAGCTACGTTCCCATCAGGATTAGTTTTAATACGAGAAGTTAGAGCTGATCAAGGTTATTTGAACGTGATTGTAATGGGGAATATGACAGTAGAGGTATTTCAAGAAAATTTAAAATCAAAACGTGTTGTTCGATGCCTTATAATATTAGTCGCATTAAACATGATAATCATTAATATACAAAATCATGCTGTAAACATATTCATTTATAAAGGATATGACACTGAATCTGAATCAGAGACGGATGGGGCCCACCTACGAAGGCTGTCCAGGCCTACACAAGGATGAAGCAGGATAAAGAGGGATAATCCCCCTCGATCCCAAATCATTGAGGCCAATTTCTAGCCATGGAATAATGGCGCGCGCGATCACACTCAAATGTGAACTGCATTATTGTTATCATAGATCTAAAAGTATATTTAGATATATGATTATTATCCACGAAACGGAACTGTCAATTTCGGCCGACTCCAAAGTTCCATGTGAATTGAGGTCTATGGCATGGCTCAGCCTTCAACTTTGGATGCGCAGTCGCATGAATAATAAAATAATCAGTCGTGTCATAACTGTTGTAATGTATGTAGTAGTTGATTAATTGTAGTTGTACCATAAACCACAAATCACAGTTGTAATACTGTGGTTATTGTCGAATTCGATATTCTAATAAACATAATACTGATTTATATGTCTTAAACACCGTCAAAGTAAGTATAAACTTTAATTAAACAATTTTACTCAAGATGTGTGAACAAAGTAATCACGAGTCCTAAGTCATTTTTTGTTTTTTCTCTTTTTGTTCAGAGGAATTTGGAAAGATGGATCTAGATATGCGGATGGATCATTTGCTATCACATTTTATTGTTGAAGTAGAAGCACCTCAGGGAAATGTTTTTGAAAAGTTCTATCAGTTGTATACCAGGTCGGACATGTGAGTTATTTGTCTATGATTTTGCTTATAATCATAAAATAACCATATCATTTTTAGGGAGCCGATAAATTATTGGCTAAAAATACATTTTGATAATAAAATAAAAAAAGACGACTACGCGGCTAATTTGTATAGGAAAGAAGGAAACCATTGGTTTTCTAAAAAGCAATATTTGAAGAGTATGGAATTTTATACGAAAAGCTTATGCTATGCCATGCCGAACTGGACTTATTTTGCTCTTGCTTTGGCCAACAGATCCGCTGTCTTATACGAAATGAAAAATTACGAGGTAAAAATGTGTTTCTTTTAAGGCTAAAATTTTTAATTCAAATATTTTCAGTTATGTTTGAAGGATTTGGATCGCTGTTTTCTCTTGCAGCGTGGGATAGCGAGTGTAAAGCCAAAATTATACATGAGGAGAATCAGATGTTATTTTTGGACCGGACAAGTCGAGAAGTGGAAGGAGTGCATCGCGGAGGCTTATGAGTATTTAACGACTGCAAATATTCTGGAAAGAGAAAAATACTTAAAAATATTACAGAAGTTGAAGGATGAACAGATAAAAAAACCCGAGGATTTTGAACCTGTAAACACATACGAACTTCCGGAATTGGAAGATGGAGAAAACGAACAATTCGCACACGCGTCCTCCAAAATCAAAATGAGGTAATATCCGAAAACTAGTTTTGAGACATCATTTCTAAATATATATTTTCAGTTATGATGCCGAACGCGGGAGACATGTGGTCGCACGGAAGCAGATCCATAAGGGTGATGTTCTTTTTGTCGAGAAAGCATTCATTTTCGCCTTTATCTTTAGAAACAAGTGGGATCTGTATCCCGATAAATGTTACAATTGTCTGAGGGATGTCGTAACTTGCATTCCGTAAGTAATCATTGAATTTATTAATATGACTTAAACCAGTCAATATCGAGATGCCGTGTTCACCTGTCGACGAAATGACTTTTCTCGATAATCGAGCTCGTGATGTTTAAACTACCGTTGTTTCATCATTTCGGGGAAAAGAAAAGACCCCTCAAAAGTGTCCAATTTGGCCGGACCTGTACAGGGTGGTCACCTGAGATAATCCGATATACTATTCAATTTTTATTTTGTAACTTTTTCCATATTCCGTATATCCAAAACTAAGCATTTCACCATTTTTTCGAGCATGAAAAAATATTATCTGCTATTCTAGTTACAGAGATGCAAATGAACTACTACAAATTCACTTCACTGGATTTACGGTGGAACTTAACCTTAAAAATGATGTATTCTTCTACAAACATTGTTTTTTTTTTTAAATAAAATTAGACGAGATACATCGATTAAAGATAGAGTATAAGTATATACGGGGGTGAGAGTTCAAGAGTTCAAATAATTTAAATTTCATTTCATAACCATTTCAATTTCATTACAGAAATAATGACATAAAAAACCAGCACTCACCAGATAAATTATAAAGAGAGGGTGAAAAGTACATAGTATCTAAATATTGACAGTAAGTAATGCAAGAGAGACTTGTGTATTCCATAAAAAAACAATCGGACGGAGACAAATTCAGGCACAATAAATAACTCGGTATGTGTTTCCGACCTAGGCTAATCTGTCCAGGTCATTAACTTTTTAACCCACATTTCACTTGCACGTGCACTATGTGATATTGTAGCAGGATCGTATTCGATGCAAAGTAGAGCAAAAAGTTGTCGGTCTTTTATCAAAGGAAAATCTTGTCATCATTTTTAGGAGACGTAAGATGAACCATTTCAAATTTAAAATGAAATTGAATGTAGAATCTGAAATACAGCTGCATACGCACTGTGTACTAGTAGTAGCTGTAGTCGCCCAGGTGCATCGAGTGTACGAAGTGGTCGGTTATACGTCAAATACTAACCTGGCGAGCTTGGTTGTAAATCAGAGAGCGCCTCCAAAAAACAAGTAAACAACAAATTGGATTTATAATAAATTACGTTTAAAATAATAGTTTATGAGAATAAAGAAATTTTTGTAGGAACAAGGGTGCCAGACGTGAACTGATCCCTTCATCTCGATACATGATAAATAGAGATTTTACTTGAAATATTGTGATAACAATTGTTATTTATTTATTAATGTTGATGCTAAAACAACAAATTAATAGGGACGATTGTTTTCGAATGTACGGTTAATACAATTTATCATTTTTAATATTATTAACGTTTTCATGTTTTATAATTTATTATGTTAAATAACACAGTTTTAGTATTATATTCAATTTATTATTCAATATGCAGTTGCGTATAACCAAAGTTTACATAATAAATGTAAACTTTAGTGTAAATCTAAACTTTGGTGTAACCTAGGTAGGCACTTATTGTTTTTGAGAAAGCAATACTTATGTTTTTTACCTGTTTAAAATGCCAGCACGAGTAAAACAGCATTCATCCGTCCAGAGCACTTTGTTAATAAAGTTCTGCTGCACTTAGGAACCAATTGCAAAATTCAAGACGATTGGGGAAATCAGCTGCTTCTAAAGCTTGAACTTTTTGAAAATGTGTTATGTTAACTCCTTTGCGGGAAAAATGCGGGAGATATGGAGGGTGGTAGATTTGAATAAACGCTTTAAATTGTTAGGTAATGGTTTTGTAACCGTGTGTAGTGTATTTTGTATATTCGGGTATTTAGTGTGCCGACTTTTTTTATTTGATAAAATACGGTGTGCCTACAAACAGGTAACTACCTCTGCTTTATTTATTTTCTTTTAACGAAAGTTGACTTCGAGAAGTCAGGCTTGTTAAAACATTTTGCGCTAAGTTAATACAATTGTTAAAATTGATTTTAATCAAATGCAGCATGCTCCTTTATTTACTTGCATACGTTTAACGCAGAACCCACAGTAAATGTGAACCACAGATTATGATGTGAACTTGGTAACGCTGTTCGCTTCAGCTGACGACTGATTCGTGACATTACGTTACAAAATTTTCCGAGCATAATTTTATTAAGCACTGTTAGGGTTTGTTTTTTTATAAAAGGTTCCGTTAAAGAAATCAAGTTATTCGTTATTCAAAACGTAGAACTTCTAGGACGTTTAACGACTGTTTTTCTTTTTTAATTTGGAACCGCATCTTGCTATATCCCGTTTAGTTTCGGGATATGGGAAAAATTATTTGATACGACTTATCCGAGATACTTCCTTTTATCATTGATTTTGTACTTAATTCCAAACATTTGATTACAGGTGCAGGGATTGCCCGTCGTGCTTCTATTGCGACGATCATTGCAGATTGGAGTCTGACTGGAACAGATGCCACAGATTCGAGTGCCCTGGGATGCAGGCCGGAATCTGGCAAGACCTGGGAATAGCCCTCCCCGCTTTAAGGGCCTTGGTGAGGGGTCTTCGGACCGGTTTGGATAGGACTATTAGTACCCCCGAGGAGGACTTGAAGAATTTTGGCAGCCGCACGGACAACTATCGCTATTTCAATAATCTTGTGTCACATTTGGATGGAAACAAACACCTTATGTCGTACTTGCTGGTAAGTTCGATACGGTACATACAGGGTGTGTGCATTTTTTGCCCTAGCGGAATATTTTGGTTTAAATTTCGGAAAATTATTATTATTTAACGCTTCGATTTTCTTGTATTTTTTAAACGATGGTTGGCTTCCCGTAACGCGGACTGTTGCCGGCAGATCCGTGATAAATAATGTTTCAGTGGGCTCTGGTCGTGGTGAAATACTTGGAAGACTACACCCAATTCTTCCAGTGGCACTTGACGAGGGAAAATTGTCCGGTAAAGGATAAGGACAGCTTCATTAAGTTAGTTGGCGGTCAGCTCGTGAAGCACATGGCACAGCTCACTTATAACGCCAGCGTCATTGAACATTGGTCGTTCGTTCCGAAAGAGATAGATTCAGAATCTACGGAACATTTTTCAGACTGTTTGAGAGACTGCTTTATCCCGGATAGTGTCGGATCTGTAGCCAGTGGAATTTTCCCATCCGTCAGCATGATGAACCACTCTTGTCGCCCGAATGTGACGAATTTGTAAGTAAACTTACGCTTATTCTCGGCTTAGCTAGTAACCGCACCCCAAGACGTAGCGAAATAATTATAATATATGTATAGCGAGAACAACAACAATAACAAATAAAATAATACTAATAACTTTATTGTCCGAACAAGTAGGTCGCCAAATTACAGAACACGCAGTAAACAGAAACAACAAAATATAAAGGAAAGGAAGGTGGAAATAGACAAAAGAATAGTAATACAGTCAAAGCTATTTATTGGCGGGGAATACGTTCCGAAAATGTACCGCGAATGCGGAATCTGCTAATACGGAGTGGCGTTGTGTATGGAAATATAGGTTCCAGTGTTGCAAAATAATAGAAAATATAATAAAAATAATTTGTTGATATAAATTTTAACGATATAGTGGAGTAAAGGTAGCTTAAAAATATGTCATTATTTCGGAATAATTAGCACAGCCTTGGATTTTCATAAAACATTGCAATCGCCTTGAAATGGCTTGTAGAAAAAAGTTGTAAACTTAAATTTGTACGCTTATTATTATTTAATTGTTTAAACAAAAAATGGTTTTTCAAAGATTATTTAAAATAAATTAAAAATTTTCAAGCAAATTTTAATCAAATTGATACTGCAGGGGTTTTCGAGGTCACTGAATAAAAATATAATGTTAAAAAATAAAAATTCAAAATGGCTGATCCAATATGGCCGACTTTTTTAAATAATTTATTAAAAAATGACAATTTTCAAAACGATTTTAATCAAATCGATATAGGGGTTTTCAAAATCGCTGAACAAGAATATTATATCAGAAAATGAAAATTGATCCAATATGGCCGACTTGTTTAAGAAATTTATTTCAAAATTACAAATTTCAAAGTAAATTTAGTTACATTGACATAATAGGGGTTTTTGAGATCTCAGAACAAGAATATTAAATCAAAAAATGAAAATTCAAAATGGCTGATCTAATATGGCCGACTTGTTCAAAAAATTTCTTTAAAAATTACAAATTTCAAAGTAAATTTAGTTAAATTACCATTGTAGGGGGTTTTGAGGTCTGTGAACAAGAATATTATATCAGAAAATGAAAATTCAAAATGGCTGATATAATATGACCGACTTCATTAAAAAATTTATTTAAAAATTATAAGTTTCAAAGTAAATTTAGTTCCATTGACATTATAGGGGTTTTTGAGGTCTCTGAACAAGAATATTATATCAGANTGACTATTTTCAAAGCAATTTTAATCAAAGTGATGTTATAGGGGTTTTCGAAGTCGCTGAACAAGAATATTATATCAGAAAATAAAAATTCAAAATGTTTGATCCAATATGGCCGACTTATTTTAAACAATTAAAAAATGACAATTTTCAAAGCAATTTTAATCAAATTGATATTATATGGGCTTTTGAAGTCGCCGAACAAGAATATTATATCGGAAAATAAAAATTCAAAATGGCTGATCCAATATGGCCGACTGTTTTTAAACAATTTATTAAAAAATGACTATTTTCAAAGCAATTTTAATCAAAGTGATGTTATAGGGGTTTTCGAAGTCGCTGAACAAGAATATTATATCAGAAAATAAAAATTCAAAATGTTTGATCCAATATGGCCGACTTATTTTAAACAATTAAAAAATGACAATTTTCAAAGCAATTTTAATCAAATTGATATTATATGGGCTTTTGAAGTCGCCGAACAAGAATATTATATCGGAAAATAAAAATTCAAAATGGCTGATCCAATATGGCCGACTGTTTTTAAACAATTTATTAAAAAATGACTATTTTCAAAGCAATTTTAATCAAAGTGATGTTATAGGGGTTTTCGAAGTCGCTGAACAAGAATATTATATCAGAAAATAAAAATTCAAAATGTTTGATCCAATATGGCCGACTTATTTTAAACAATTAAAAAATGACAATTTTCAAAGCAATTTTAATCAAATTGATATTATATGGGCTTTTGAAGTCGCCGAACAAGAATATTATATCGGAAAATAAAAATTCAAAATGGCTGATCCAATATGGCCGACTGTTTTTAAACAATTTATTAAAAAATGACTATTTTCAAAGCAATTTTAATCAAAGTGATGTTATAGGGGTTTTCGAAGTCGCTGAACAAGAATATTATATCAGAAAATAAAAATTCAAAATGTTTGATCCAATATGGCCGACTTATTTTAAACAATTAAAAAATGACAATTTTCAAAGCAATTTTAATCAAATTGATATTATATGGGCTTTTGAAGTCGCCGAACAAGAATATTATATCGGAAAATAAAAATTCAAAATGGCTGATCCAATATGGCCGACTGTTTTTAAACAATTTATTAAAAAATGACTATTTTCAAAGCAATTTTAATCAAAGTGATGTTATAGGGGTTTTCGAAGTCGCTGAACAAGAATATTATATCAGAAAATAAAAATTCAAAATGTTTGATCCAATATGGCCGACTTATTTTAAACAATTAAAAAATGACAATTTTCAAAGCAATTTTAATCAAATTGATATTATATGGGCTTTTGAAGTCGCCGAACAAGAATATTATATCGGAAAATAAAAATTCAAAATGGCTGATCCAATATGGCCGACTGTTTTTAAACAATTTATTAAAAAATGACTATTTTCAAAGCAATTTTAATCAAAGTGATGTTATAGGGGTTTTCGAAGTCGCTGAACAAGAATATTATATCAGAAAATAAAAATTCAAAATGTTTGATCCAATATGGCCGACTTATTTTAAACAATTAAAAAATGACAATTTTCAAAGCAATTTTAATCAAATTGATATTATATGGGCTTTTGAAGTCGCCGAACAAGAATATTATATCGGAAAATAAAAATTCAAAATGGCTGATCCAATATGGCCGACTGTTTTTAAACAATTTATTAAAAAATGACTATTTTCAAAGCAATTTTAATCAAAGTGATGTTATAGGGGTTTTCGAAGTCGCTGAACAAGAATATTATATCAGAAAATAAAAATTCAAAATGTTTGATCCAATATGGCCGACTTATTTTAAACAATTAAAAAATGACAATTTTCAAAGCAATTTTAATCAAATTGATATTTCAGGGGCTTTCGAAGTCGCTGAACAATAATATTGTATCAGAAAATAAAAATTCAAAATGTTTGATCCAATATGGCCGACTTTTTTTAAACAATTTTTTAAAAAATTACAATTTTCAAAGCAATTTTAATCAAATTGATATTATAGGGGTTTTCGAAGTCGCTGAACAAGAATATTGTATCAGAAAATAAAAATTCAAAATGTTTGATCCAATATGGCCAACAATTTTCAAAGCAATTTTAATCAAATTGATATTATAGGGGTTTGCAAAGTCACTGAACAATTATACTCATATTGATATTTTTAGGATTTTTCAGATCATTGAACAATTATAAAATGAAATCAACTCGTTAAATTTTAAAGAAATTTGTGTGTATGATGTTTAGGGTTCTGCAAAAAGTCAATATATGGGATTCTTAATTAACAAATTTATTAAATATGAAAAAGTATTTGCACATTAAAAACAGAAATATAAAAAAATAACAATATTCAATTTTCATTCTCTTGAATCATTGTAAGTTCTGGCAATTGGTCTGATTCTCGTTCTTCTTCGAGAAATGCTTGGCAATTGTGACAATCAGTTCCGGAACAATTAGAGCGTGCTATGGTGCAAAGTAGACCCGCCTTCCGGCAACCGCAATTATTAGCACAGCCACTTTTGCAAAAAATCGTTTTGAGAAGTTCGTTTGGTGCTGGATCTTGAGTCATAAAAGTTGCAGTCATACCCGAATCCTCTCGTTTTCAACCTCGGTCTTCTGCTTGCAATTTTTTGTCAAGCCAAGCCTGCACTTGGAGCAGATGTTCTCTCTATCTCTTTCTAATCTAAAAATATAATTATCGAATCACGAGAATGAACATTACCAGATAATCTTCTGTTACATAATTTCATTATGAAAAAATTAGGTAAAACTGAATCTTGTGACAATTTATTGAAAAACCGTATTTTTCTGTATTTTATACAATATTATAGTAACACAAAATTTTTTTTTCCGTTGGTTATACTTTTTTTAAGATCATTTTGAAAATATATTGGTTAAACAAGCAAAAAAATTTTTTTTAATTTTATTAAAGTTTATTTAACAACAAATTTCATCGTTTTAGAACAAAATTTTTTTTTTATTGTTTTTCAGGATTGCAATTTTTTTCAATTTATTAAATGTCCTTAATCTAATCTTATAATTTAACTTCACTATAATTTTCTCAGACACACATCAAAGCTATATCATAATAAAACTACCCAGTATGGCAGCGGTAACAGTTGATTTCTTTTATTCATAAACGACTTATCACTCTGCAACTAAGCTCTACCACCTAAATCTCAATCAATGTAGTAACATTGAGAATGCTATTTGAATACAAAAGCTGCGCGATGAAGTTTATGGATATTTTACAGTTATGTTGTCGTTTTTAGTTTCATCCGCGATAGGATTGTCGTCAAGGCCCTGGAGGACATCCCCGAGGGCGGAGAAATACTTAATTGTTACGGTATCGACTACAGAGCGCTCGACAGGAATCAGCGACAGATTGCTTGTCTGGAGACGTACCGTTTCGTTTGTAAATGTGAAATTTGCGAGGATCCTTTGAAAGAAATCGTGAGTAGAAGATGTATTAATTTAAATTTTTCTTAACAAACTGCCGTGCGAAACTAAAAGTCCTCTCACTGATATTTAACAAATAGAAAATCCTTTCAAAGCAACCAAAAAAAGCAAAATGCCTTTGAAAAAAAAAGTTCAAAGCTCTAACCTGGACATTTGGCCACAACATGGTTTTCGTATTTCATAACTTGGTTTGACCTTCAAAGAACTTTCAAGCTTGACCTCTAGGTTATGGTCAAGGTCATCATCATAAGATCATCAGACGTTCTGAAAGTCACATAAAGTGTACAGTTTTGTAAATAGCGCCGATTCCAGTGTCGGTTCGAACGTTCATGTTAGAATGTTGAATTTTCTTCTTCTCAAAAATGGTAAGCAAAATTTTATCCGGATTTGACCATTTTCCGCTATAGTATAATTGCTACAAGAAGGATCGGAGTGTTATTTCATATTTTCAGGGCGACTTGGATAGTTTTAAGTGCACCAAGTGCCAAGGGGCGTTACCGAAAGTACCCGAGAGTGAATCCTTGACTCCTTGCGATTCTTGCCATATAACGTTCTTCACGGAATGCCTTAGAATTGCCAGAATAAAGGCTCAAAGACATTTTAATTTGGGTACGTACAGGTTATTATCTCCGTTTACAGGAAACGACATTCGAACGCTTCTCTTCCAGCTCAAGAGGATGCGGCTAACAGGCTGAATTGGTTGATGAGGTGTCTGAAGCTCAGGGATAAAGTTTTATATAAAAATCACGAGGAAATGGAGGAACTTTATTTGGCGTTTTTCAAGTACTTCCTGGAAAATGGTAGGCGTGGGTCTTTTCCCGGAAGTCGTTTAATTTAACGGGTAACTGGGTTTTCAGATGATCCCCTCAATACATGTAAGTATTTCCGTTTGTGGCTGGACATCCAGAAGGCATGGAAAGGGGAGAATTCCCGGACGGTCGGCGTGAAATTGTTCGAGACCGCTTTGGCCGTCCTCGTTTGCTGTATAAAAACCCATCCCAGGAACCTCGGCAGTTTAAAGTGAGCCTGCTTAATTTATTTCCATTTATAATACCTTTGTATGTTTGGAAACTTATCATAGAGCTACAAAATGTCGGGTTTAATTTTTTCGTTCAAACTTCAAGTGCAGGTAGATTATCAAAAAATGACGATAGTTTGATATTTCCTTATATGCCATGTTTTGTCGTTGAAATTTTCCATAATGACATGATTTATAGAGAAAATAGGTAATAAGTCGCTACATATACGTACTATAAACTGAATAATTAATTAGACATAATACTAAAAATTCATATTCAGTTATAAAACATAGTGAAAACGTTAATAATATTAAAAATACTAAATTGTGATATTATTAGCAAATAAATAATGCTTGTTAATACTTAAAATGTAAAAATTCATGTAATTGATTCATTCATGTTTAATCCTCGTCGTTCACTACATATTAAAAACAGGGTAAAAACTAGGTTAATGACCAAACACAGTCACACTCGATAAACCTTTGCGAGTCAGTGGTCAGGAGCAGTCCCAAAAGGGGTTTAAATAATGATTTTAAATTTTTTTTAATCACATATTTGTATTCTACTCATTTTTCCCTCTTCCCTTAAAATTAACGACGCTATTTTAAGTAAAATGTAGAAATAGTAAGACCTTTATATCGTGGCTATTTCCACGTGTTGGTCTTCGTCAAGGGTGTTGATAGAACAGCGAGAATACAAGATATTTCTTTGAAAGATTACATTATTTAATAATTTCAAAATGTTTATGTTATATGTTCCGGTATTAATAATATTTAGACATATCAATTTTTATTGATGCTTCAGTTAATTACTCAGCCACACAAAAAAAAGTTATCTTTACTTTTCGTGCGACGTGTTATCCGTAGTATTTTTGCCTCCTGATCGCGAATCCGGTGTCAGAATTGAGCTATCACATCACGGGAATTTCCTAACCTCAAAAAACAAGTCGAAAATAGCAAAATTCATAATGCTGGGGAAAATACAAAAAAATTTTTTTCCTATATTCAAATGTTCATTTATATGGTTAAAACCCCGCCGAACGTGAATCCGCTTTCAGAACTGAGGGTTCTTTTTCTAACCTCAAAAAACGGGTCAATTAAGGTCAGAGATCACAAATTTTAAAAAAATAACAGATTCGCGTCAAATTTGGTATACGGGGGTTTTCGGGGTCGCTGATTACGAATTCGAGGTCAGAATTGCGAAATTCATTTTGTAATAGTTTACTTTATAACCCGAGTACCCAATTATGTTTTAACCTTCTTGAAGTAGGTACATAGGTAATTGATTCAATTTTTAAAAACGAATTTTGTAAATCTGATTCGTGATCAGCGACCCCGAAAACCCCCGTATACCAAATTTGGCGCAAATTTGTTAATTTTTTAAAATTTGGTCGGCCATCTTGGACCCGCCATCTTGAATTTTGAAAAATTAACCTCGGATCCGTGATCAGCGACCCCGTATACCAAATTTGGCGCGAATCTTATTTTTTTTAAATTCGTGATATCTGACCTTAATTGGCCCGTTTTTTTGAGGTTAGAAAAAGAACCATCAATTCTGATCGCGGATTCACGTTCCGCATGGTCTGGTCTTGACTATATAAATGAACATTTGAATATAGAAAAATGATTTTTTTGTATTTTTCTTGGCACATTTTGTGAATTTTTGTTATTTATAACCTGTTTTTTGTGGTTAGAAAATTCCTTTATTTTTGTGTGGCTGTGGTATTAATTACTAGATGTTTACTAGATATTGTTGGTATAATTCAGTGCGAGTTGTGGTTGAGAGTTGACACATTAATAAATTTACAGTTAGCAACGAATATTTCTCATGAAATTTGATATGAATCGATCGAGGAGGTGCGGAATACATGTAGTCGAATTTTAAGTAAAAGTTCGAATACCAATTTTTGTGAAATTTGACAATGAAAAAAATAACTAGTAGACTTTTTTAAAATAGGCCACTCTACATAGGAAAATTTATTTGAGTCAAACGGCATCTCAGAAAAATATTAGAGAGATTCCCTTATTCTTAACGGGATAGACTATACAGGGTGATTCAGTGGTAATGCCATTAATTTTAGGGGAAGAGTGAATCTTGACCTACCGTATTTGGTCACTAACCTAGTTTTTACTGCGTTTTTAATGCGTAGTAAACGACAAGGAATAAACAGATTTCTTTACCTAGACACATCAATGAATAATATTTACATTTTAAATATTAACAAGTATTATTTATTTGTTAATAGAAACATGTATAACGATAATAATTGTTTTCGAATGTTAGGTTTTCACAATTTAATATTTTTAATATTATTAACGTTTTCAACTACATTTTATAATTGAATATGAGTTTTTAGTTACATTTAGTACATTTACCTACTGACTTATTTCTTTTCAAAGAGTAGCATGGTTTATTTAAAATGCCAGTATGGCTAAAAAAAATACTTATCGTCAATAGCACTTTGTTAATAAAGTTCGGATCTGCTGCACTTTGATTTTGAAACCATTTGCAGAATTCAAGACAACTGAGGAAATCGGTTGTTTCCTTCAATGTTCGAACGCTCTGTGCTCCGCTGGCGCTATTAAAATTAATTACATTATGACTGAACAACCCTGTATATCAAACTATCATTATCCGCCTTGGACTTGGAATTTGATCAAGAAAAATCAAATTTTACGTTTAGTTTATATTAACGTTCAACTTACAATATTTGCCTGTTTCAGAACTGTGCTTCCAGACGTAGAACGCATGATTATAGACGCCAAAGCAATATTAAGTTTGTACTATCCAGATTATATAATACGTGGATTGATGAATGGCGTGGATGCTATAAGTAAAAAAATGCCGTAGGGGTCTAAGTAAAAATAGATTTATTGCTGTGAAGTTTATATTTATAATTACGTACAATTTTATTTTTCGTATTTTAATAGAATTTTCAAATTGCCTGTGGTTCTTAATTCATATTAAATGTTCTAACCTCATCCAACGGCTCGAGAAAAAACAGTTTTTAAATTTTGTAATTTCTTAAAATCCTTGGCTTTTAAAGGTTTCCTTTTTTCGTAGAAATTTAAAAAATATAGCTTTTCACGGAGGACTAAATTGTGCTTTCAAGTCACACATTTTTCTATTCATTATTTTTGCCTGAATTTTGTTACCGAGGGTTTTTGTGTCGCTGATTACGAATCTGAATTGCCAATCCGAAGATTCCTGAATAAAAGATGGTGGATGTAAAAATCGGAAAGGCATTTAAAATTTGAAAATTTTGGATGAAACTTGTTACTCGGTGATTTTCAAAGTCGCTAATCACTGATATAAGGTTTTAGTTAGGAAACTCTTAAAATAGAAAATCAGAAATTAGTATTTACCACCCCAAAGAAATGTGTTATGAATCTTTAAAAATTTGAGTTAATTGAGTAAAAATGGGCAAATGGTTCCAAATATGCATTTTTTGAGGACTTTCTAGGATAAAAAATATGGATCATTTGTTTTCTACTTATTGTGTTGATAGCTTGAACATCCGTAAATAGGAACAATCTGTATATATAAAATAAAATTAAATAAATGGATTTTAAAGTACGCATCTAGTGAAGTTTGTTCCTTTATGGTACAGAAACGCGTCAAAAGAGGCGCTCATGTAACACCCGTTGACGACAATGATAGATCTATTAAACTTCTACTATGAGGGCTGCCCTCTAGCGGTCTTAGTTTCAGATCAGACGAGACATTTACAGCGTTCTTTAAGTCGTAGACATTTTATTTATTCATTTGGATGCCATGAATTACGTAAGCCAATAAAAAAATTAGGATTGTTTAAACAGACCGCGCGATCGAGGGGATTATCCCTCTTTATGCTATGGACGGAATCCACCCAATCAAAGTGATGAATAAAAGAATACGTCCTAACCCATTGGTTCTGTCAGCTGAATGTAGCAGTGATAATTTTTAATTCCCAGTTGGCTACTGTGGGTCAACGTCTATAAAGATATAAACATGATATAAACATTGACTGTGAGTGGCAAAAATTAGCGAATAACCAATAGGCATTAGGCAATCGAGTTTTCATAATCCATGTGAAGGGAACACCATTTTCGAATATTTACTATGATAAATTTATTCCGTGGACATTTGAACTACCAAAACCGCGTGATGTCAGAAATGTCAGTCACAGTTTGAGGTTAAGTCAAATTAAAATAAATTTGCCGAACGCCTTTTATCATGTCCGAAACAGATATCGAGTGGCCGTGGCAGTACAGCTTCCCGCCCTTCTTCACCCTACAGCCATACCCCGAGACGAGGGCCAAACAGGTGACGGCGTGGAAGAACCTCATCTTGACTTACTGCCAGAAGACCAAGACCTACGTGATCGACGTCAGGGAGGCGTCCCAGTTCCCACTGTTCAACAATTCCACCATCAACAGGAAACTAGAACACAACGTTATCGTCTCGATCCTGACGGAGCTGCAGAAACACGGGAACGCCGCCCCGTTGGACAAGGCGAAGAACCGGTGGGAGGTCTACTGGCACACGCTGGAAGAGTGGGCTTCTACCATCTACGAGTACATTTCCAACAGAGGGATGCAGAACACGGTGGTGACTCTGTACGAGCTGACGCAGGGGGAAGATACGCAGGGAGAGGAGTTCTACGGCATGCAGCAGGACGTGTTAGTGAAAGTGTTGAGAGTTCTGGAGAAGGAGAGGAAGTGCGAGGTTATACTCGACGACGAGGTGCAGGGTGTTAAGTTTTTTTAAGAACTACCATTTTGGTGAAGAGTAATGCGAATTACAAAAATTTCACAATGTATGTATTGGAAATTGAATAATTATTATTAACGTTCCCATTGGTGTTTCTTTAATAACTGAAAAACGCTTTTTGTCATAATTGTTTATCTTCATTCTTGTAGATTTTCGGTCGTGAGGGGGGAAATCACATTAGGAGGCTGATTTTCAGGCGTTCTTCATGAATTTTTATGAGTGGGACAAATTGATTAGAGTTTGATCAAACTTTGACATTATTTTATTAATATTTTAAACATTTACAATTTTTTTCAAGTCATTTGTGTTGAAAATGCCGAAGTTATTACATCAGGAAAATTAGCGAAAATAAAAGAGAAACTCGAAAAAAGTCCTATCCACCAGATTATTGTAAAATTGTGAAAAGGAACATAATACAAGACATCTCTCATCTCGTGAGTCAAAAACTTTTATTAGCTAACTTTTCTATTTAAACAAATAAGTGAGGAAAACAGTTTTTTCACTTTGCAGGGAAAACCATCAATTTTAGCGAAAAGTGACTCTCAGACAGCTTATAGGGAGTAAAATTATCTACAAAATGAGACTGGTTAAATTAAAATCGGTTAATAAACAAAAAAGTTATTGCAAAAAAACAAGAAAAGTGCCCATTTTTTCATTTGTTTATAACTATCGCATTTATTGTTAAAATTTTATAAAACCTATGACAAGTTGAGGGTTTTGTCATACTTTAAAAGTGTGCCAAAAGTGGGCGCTGTAGGTGCAATAGTTTTCGCACAATTCTATTTGTTTATAGCGGAGGCTCCAAAAGTTATGAACTTTAAGCCTCTGTACAGACGTTAATTTTCAATCAAACATGATTCTGAAAGCGTCATTGTAATCTTAAAGACGCAATTAAGCGACCTATTAAAAAATATCACCGTTTTTTTGACATTAACATTCTCAAATTGTGCATTAAAAAACCGTGCGTTTTTCGCTTATAAACAATTTGAATAACATTGTTGCTATTTATGCTATCTCACCGAAAATAGATGCAATGGATAGCTGGAAAAAAAATACAGTTTTAAAATAAAAAAAGTGCCCTCTACGACCAACAGGAGCCAAGATAAGAATCTTTTTTTAAAAAATCGTAGCGCAATTGTTTATAAATATTAAGACTTGAATTTTTCGCAAAATAAAGTTTACGACGTAAACTACGATTTCCCGTGAATTGCATTGAAAAATGTGGAAAATTAACGACTCACGAGCCCTTTAAAGAGAAGGTACTCGCTAAGTAAACTGTCCGGCGGCCGGCGGCGTGGTGGTGGGGGAAGTGCGCGCTGTAAATTTTGCAATATCTCGGCTTCTATTCATCGTAGAAACTTTTTTTTTTTTTAAACTGGGGTAGCTCGACGAAAAAATAACAATGGGCATATTTACGAATTCGTAGAATAGCCCTGAACCCCAGAAAAAATGCATCTTTTATAATTAATTTTTTTTAATTTACAAAAATGTCACAAAAATTATTGTTAAACGAAATATTAATTAAAATTTCAATTTCGGAATTATTTTACTATTATTAAATAAATAAATGAAGCTATCGTTCATTTAAAAAGTTATTCTTTTACATATTAAGGCAAAGTAAACTTGTTTTTTCAATATTTTGTTAGCTATTTAATTACGATTTAAATGTAAAATTAAAGTAAAAATTCACAAATTATTTTCAAATTATTATTTATTGTTAAAAGATTTAAAAAAGAATAAAAAACATTTGAATTTATTGCAAAATTGTCAAAATTAAAAAATGTTAATAAAAATAATGCGGTCGATAAAATTACAATTTTAACTTCTTGAAATTTTAATATATAAAGTTTTTTTATTATATTTATTACTAATTTTATACAAACAAATGTTTGCAATATAATCAAAATTAATTAAAAAAAATATTAATCACAACCATTTTCAATAATAGATATAAGTAATGCAATATAATACAACAATTTAAAATTAAAAATTTTTTCTATTTTTATGAGAAATAATAATTTGAAAATAATTTATGAATTTTTACTTTAATTTTACATTTAAATCGTAATGAAATAGCTAACAAAATAAAAAAAACAAGTTTACTTTGCCTTAATATGTAAAAAAATAACTTTAAATGAACGATAGCTTCATGTGACATTTTTGTAAATTATAAAAGATGTATTTTTTCTGGAGTTCAGGGCTATTGTACGAATTTGTAAATATGCCCAGTTATTTTTTCGTCGAGCTACCCCAGTTTTAAAAAAAATGTTTCTGCAATGAATAGACTTGTTTGGATGAGCTTCCCCCACCACCATGCCGCCAGACAGTTTACTTAGCGAGTACCTTCTCTTTAAAGGGCTCGTCAGTTGTTAATTTTCCACATTTTTCAATGCAATTCACGGGAAATCGTAGTTTACGCCGTAAACTGTATTTTGCGAAAAATTCAAGTCTTAATATTTATAAACAATTGCGCTATGATTAAAAAAAAATCTTATCTTGGCTCCTGTTGGTGGTAGAGGGTCCTTTTTCATTTTAAAACTGTATTTTTTTGCCAGCTATCCATTGCATCTATTTTCGGTGAGGTAGCATAAATAGCAATAATTTTATTCAAATTGTTTATAAGCGAAAAACGCACGTTTTTTTAATGCACAATTTGAGAATGTCAGTTTAAAAAAACTGGTGATATTTTTTAATAGGTCGCTTAATTACGTCTTTAAGATTACTATGCACTTTCAGAATCATATTTGATGGAAAATTAACGCCTGTACAGAGGCTTAAAGTTCATAACTTTTGGAGCCTCCGTTACAAACAAATTGAATTGTGCGAAAACTATTGCACCTACAGCGCCCACTTTTGGCAAAGTATGACAAAACCCTCAACTTGTCATAGGTTTTATAAAATTTTAACAATAAATGCGATAGTTATAAACAAATTTAAAAATAGGCACTTTTCTGGTTTTTCTGCAATAACTTTTTTGTTTATTAACCGATTTTAATTTAACAAGTCTCATTTTGTAGATAATTTTACTCCCTACAAGCTGTCTGAGAGTCACTTTTCGCTAAAATTGATGGTTTTCCCTGCAAAGTGAAAAAACAGTTTTCCTCACTTTTTTGTTCAAATAAAAAAGTTAGCTAATAAGTTTTTGACTCACGAGATGAGAGATGTCTTGTATTATGTTCCTTTAGACAATTTTACAATAATCTTGCGGATAGGACTTTTTTCGAGTAAAAATTTTATTTGCTTGGACTATATGGACTGTGGTCCACCGAAGGTCGACGTCCAAGAGGGTCTTCTAAGAATTTGAACCTCATTGCGGGTAACAATTGTCAAAATTGAAGTTTTGACACGTTTAAAAAAAAAAATGTAAACAAATTTGTAACCAATTATATTTCTATAAGTTTATTTCACTACTATTTACCATTTTAAAAAATATATATATAATCAACATAAATAATTGTTACACAACTGTTACATTTATACACATACACTATAATTAAATAAAGCCTAACCCCACAGCTACGAACTTTTTATTATTGTGTCGACTTCCTTCCCGCCCCTATAATTATCTTCAGTTGATTTCAAATCGGACACATCTACTAACTTTCCAACCGCGGCGTCTACCCTGCTGTTCCTATACCTTAGACAACCGTCTCTGGCGTGGGCGTCGAACGCTTCTTGGCCTTCGAAGACGCATTTGCACCTTTTACACTTGAACGTCGATATCCCGTGCGTCCTCATGTGAGCTTTGAATCCTTAAAAGACAAACATTGCGATTGACAAGCAAATACTGGAAACGGGTGAATTGTGACGTCATTTAGTGCTACCGAGAAGGACGATAAGCGGATTGTGTTCTCGGTCACACTAAATGATGTCACAATGTTTCCTCGATCACGTGACGACTAGGTGGTGCTGATGTTTGATTGAAGTTTAACAGATAAGTATAAGTTGACTTAACAAGTTAAATATTCCCTTACCTCTTTTATCCACGCTTTTCTCGCATATCCGGCACGTTTCGGGCGCCGGCAGCCTAGAACCGTCGTCGCTGTGCGTCCTGAGGTGCCCCCTGAGGACCTGTGGGGTCTTGAATCGCCGCTCGCAGATCCCGCACTGGAAGGGCCTCTCGTCCTCGTGCACGTGCCGTTTGTGCTTCAAGAGGCTGCTGCGATGCGTGTAGTCTAAAAAATTGCCCTTTTTAACGACTTTAACATGGAACTTTCGCTCTGTTGTAAAAATAAACTGCCGATTCGCCTCACCTTGGTTACAAATGTCGCAATGGAATAATTTCCGCTCTTCGCTGTGCGTCGACGTGTGGTACCTGTAGCTGTCGCCCCTTTTGAATTTCTTCCCGCACACCCCGCAGACGTACGGCGTCTCGCCCGTGTGATTGCGGAGGTGCACCCGCAGAGCGGCTGTAAAAGCATAATTGAATTTTTTTTTGGATTACTACACCCTGCCGCAAAAATCAACTTTAAGCTTACCTCTGTCCAGGTACGACTTCCCGCAGAAGCTACACGTGTAGTTCTCGTTGTTGTGCGCCCGCATGTGATTCTTGTACGTCATATAGTACCGGAACGTCTGCAGGCAGACCGGACACTCCCTGATCTTCTCCGCCGCCTTCACGTACTTCCTGGGCTTGTACTTCACCTTCTCGAACTACGGAACGACCCGTGACAAAGCAAAATACGTCTCGTAAAGGACGGAGGGTGCTCACCTGGGCGCAGAACTCGCATCCTTCCTTCGTGCAGTTGGCGTGGTGGCCCCTGAGGTGCCGCAGGAGGCCCTTCCTTATCCTGAAGCTCTTCCCGCACTCCAGGCAGTGGAAGGGGAACTCCTCGCTGTGCGTCGCCACGTGCGGCTTGAGGTTGGCGCTGTGCGAGAAGCCCCTGCCGCAAACGTCGCACACGTACGGCTTCTCCTTCGAGTGGGTGCGCATGTGAGCTTTCATGGCGCTCGGGACAATGAAGGTCTTGTTGCACTCGGGGCACTGTATCTGGCGGTCACCTTGGGAGAGAAGACGGCAGTCGTTTAATCGTTCATTATTAAAAAAAAAGGCGAAATTAGCGAAAACGAAATATTTATTCCTACCTGTATGCGTCTTTATATGTACCGACAAGTTGTATCTCTCTTTAAAAGCGCTGTCACACAGCTCGCACTTGAACGGTCGTTCACCCGTGTGATCCATAACGTGCTTTTTAAGCTTGTGAGAATCTCGGAAAGTCTTGCCGCAGTACTGACATGCTTTTTCGACTCCTCTGGCAGTTCCTTTCCGTTTTCTTTCGAGTTTCGAGGCTGCGCCGTTCTCGGCTTTTGATCTTACTTCAACACCTTCAGTTTTTATGTCGGTTATACTCCGCAGTTCGCTGTTCGTCACAAAGTAGTTGCTTTCGTTTTCGACATCTAAAACCAACAGGACAGATACTATAAGTACATTGTGAATATTATATTTTTGGTTTACCTAAATTCTCTGGCTCGGATTTTATTTTGTTCAAGTCTATCCAGGGTTCATTGGTAACAGGATGAATTTCTGGAAGTACACTTATCAGCGTATCGTTTTCTTGTTTGATTTCTGTTTTTAGGTTTATTTTAACTTCTAGGCGTTCCGCTGAAGCGTCCATGGCTTGTTTTAATGATTTAAAATATTTTTTAGGCTTCGATAAACATTGACAAATGATAAGGTTAGGTTATTATTTGAAGTAATGTCAAAATACGAGCAAAGTTCCATTGATCCTAGAAATATAGATGTGAGAACAAACATTAATTCATTTGTGATCAGAACTGGCAGATGTCCCAAAAGAATGACGCCATTGTTTCTAAAAAACTAATGAAGAAATAATTTTCAGAATTGATGTTTCGCGGTGTCACTCAACATCTATAAGGAGGTAAGTTCCTGTTATTTTTTCTCAAATCGGACGTCCAAACAGCTGAGAACAGCTAAATGAGGATTTAATACAAATCGAAAGCAACTAATGTCAAAATACGTACATGAATGCATTGATCTTATAAATACAGATGTGAAAACAAATTTTTTTTCTCAGCAGGATCGGAATAATATAAAAGAATGCTATAACCTACTAATTTAACTTTTACCATGTTTTATAGTTGTTCTGATATTTAATATTTTCTCAATGTGAGTACTTTTATTAATACTCCAATCGCATTAGATATTAACACCTTGAAAAAATTATTAGTAGACATCTATGGGAAAATTAGTGATTTTGTGTTGAATGCAATTAAATTACCTACAATTTAAGGTACCTAGTCATTTTTCACTAATTTCTTACCTGTAAAATAAAGGTCGAACGCGGAAATATCAGTTTTCGAAAATTGCGTATTATTGCAAAAAGCAATGGATGTTGATGAAATTTATGGAAAAGACAGACAATCCAAAGACCTACATGTGTGCCAAAGGTTGATTCGATTGACAGTGAACAGTTTAAGATCCTGATCTTTAAAATTCATTTCAATTCATAACATTTTTTGCTATTTTCGTATAAAATACTATAAAAAAAAAACTGTGCGCTGAAAACCAACTAACTTTATTAAATTATATAGTTTTATGGTCATCACATGCCTGTATATATATTATTAAAGTTAATTAAAGTATTATCTCCATTAACGGATGCACATATTTCCATCTAAAACCTTAAACAAATTTGCCATAAATTATTAGACAAATATTTCTTTAAATTAATTGAAAAAGTATATACCTCTTTTTATTTTTCCAGGTGGTTTTGGATTAGGTTTGTTTTGAGAAATAAATAAACAAACAAGTAAATAATTGGAGTTTTTATAACAGCAAAATTTTTAACATTTCGTCTTCAGGGATGTCTCTGTGTCTTAGTTGATGTTGTGCGAGGTTGTGCTTATAGACGGTTTTAAAATCACAAAAATTACATTTCCACATCTGTTCCTTGGGGATGCCTTTGTGTCTAAGGTGGTGTCGGCGAAGGTAATCTTTATAAATGGTTTTGAAATCACACGAATCACACTTATACATCTGCTCCTCGGGGATGTCCTTGTGCCTTAACTTATGTAGTGTGAGGTTGTGCTTATAAACGGTTTTGTAATCGCACGAATCGCATTTCGACATCTGCTCTTCGGGGATGTCTTTGTGTCTCAGTTCGTGACGCTTAAGAAGCCTCTTTCTACGGGTTTTATAATCGCATGAATCACATTTAAACGTCTGCTCCTTAGGGATATTCGTGTGTCTTAAATGATGAAGCACAAGAAGCCTTTTCTGACCGGTTTTATAGCCACACAAATTACATTTGAACATCTGCTCTTCCGGGATGTCTTTGTGTATTTGTTGATGGCGTTTAAGATAAGTCTTTCGACCGGTTCTATATTCGCACGAATCGCACTTCAACATCTGCTCTTCTGGGATGTTTTCGTGCCTCAGCTGGTGTTGTAGAAGACACCTCTTTTGGTGGGTTTTATAATCACATAGATCGCATTTGAACACCTGCTCTTTGGGGGTGTTTTCGTGCCTCACCCGATGTCGCGCCAAATATCTCTTTTGATTGGTTTTATAATCGCACAAGTCGCACGTCAACATCTGTCCTTCGGAAATGTCTTTGTGTTTTTGTTGATGTTGCGTAAGGTAATACTTATGAACGGTTTTATAATCGCACGAATCACATTTATACAACTGTTCCTCGGGGATGTTCTTGTGCTTTAATTGGTGACGTTTGAGGTAATACTTATGTCCGGTTTTGAAATCGCAGGAATCGCATTTCAACATCTGCTCTTCGGGGATGTGTTTATGTCTTAGTTGATGTTGCGTAACATAGCCCTTTTGAAAGGATTCATAACTGCACGAATCACATTTATATACAGTGTGTTCTGATCCGTATTGTCCAAGCGTAGTACTTGTTGCTGCACATCCATATCGGAAATCAGTTGTGCTGAAAAAATGTTAATTGATGCATGATAGAAAACGGGGGGAACAAACGCCAACCAAAATAGTTATTTACAGGTTACTAATTGTAAGCAAAACTAATTTGTTTTAAAATAACTATTTTTGCTATTTTGTAAAATGTAAATAAAAAGGTATACAGTCTAAGTTGATAGTATTCTAAACGATACATAATTATTTCGATGAAGAATTGAAAATTCATTGGACTTACTTGTAATATTCTTCAGATTTTATTTCTACTTCTTCAGATTTAATTAAAGGCAGACTTTCTACGGTTTTATCGTTACAAACTTCCTCCTTCGATTCCAAACAGTTCTGTAAGCAACTCGTGTGGGTATAATTTCCTTCATATTTTATTTCAGCGTCTTCCTGTTTAATATAGGTAGGACTTTCTACGATTTTGTTGTCGCAAATAATTTTGATTTTCTGTTCCACATCCAAACAGTTCTTTAAGAAACTCGTGTGGGTAATCAGTGAATCGAGACAAACTTCGCATATGGCTGGTTCTTTGGTGAAACTGAAATTCTACAAGAAAAAAAAACTGTCCACTACAATAAAAAATTGGGCCGTTTAATATACATTCTGTCAAAAAATTATACGGAGTGAAACACAATATATTTAATTAATGTGGCGCCCTCTAATATTCAACAAAAAATTAAGTAAATATTTGAGTTTTTCATCATCAATACTCCCAGTTTCCGGAATTTCGTCAAATACCAAACAAACATTTTTTTTGGACGCTCTGTATCTAAGAACTAAGCCGTTGCGGACCCATGCTCGTATGAACTTTTTATCTTAAAATTAGTTAAAGATTCACCGTTTAAAGTTTGTACAAGTACTTATAGCCCAGTTACTGTTGCTGAAAATATAGTAATACCTCCGAATTTTTTATAATTGCATTGATTTTTCTCAAAATTTAGAATTAAGCTCATCTTACCCCCCACTTCAAAACTTATATATGCACTAGGTGTGCTTTTTGTTCTTGAGGGTGAAAACCACCCCTTATTGGAAAAAAAAGAAAAAATATGAATTTACGCATTTTATATAATCAAATCTTTTTTATTTATGCAGTATGAGTAATTTCATGTGCTATCTAACATGAAAATTAATGTATCCCAAATTTTCAACCCGGAAAAACCTTTAAAAACCACCCCTTTGAATGAAAATAATATAAAAACTTTTTTTTCAACTTGAAAGGTTTTAATCATGCATTTTTATCAAATTAAAATTGATTTCTTGATTACAAAATCTTTTTTATTGATTACAACTTTTTAACCCTCGAAAAATACCCCTTCTTTCGAAAATAAAATGAAAAAATATTATTGAAGGAGTAAAAAAACATTTTAAATGTGCATTCATTCGTATTGAATAAACATTTATTCCCTTCTTATAAAATAATTTTTAATTGATTGTAACTTTGCAACCCTTAAAAACTACCCCTTATATTTATTTATATATTTATATATATTTTCCTAAAATTATCACCTATACACGTGTTTATGACGATAACTTTCTTACTTTTTAAAATTTTTAAACGCACAAAAGATCATTTTGCAGGGAATTGTAAAGGCTATGTGATCTGTTGAGTGGATCTTTTGTAAGCCCTTCATTTTTAAGTTTGAAGGGTTTAAATGGCTCGAAAAGGGTGGTTCTCTCATTCATATGAAAACTTAAAATGGCGATATCTCGATTAATATTAATTTTATAGGAATAATAAAAAAGCAAAATCTTCAGCAAAAATAAAGCAAAATTTTTTAACTCTTGTATTTTTTTATACACCCGTTAATTTTTAAGTCACAGCGTAAAAATCAAATTTTTTTCAAAAACTTGAAAAATTAACATTTTCAAAAATTAAGTTTTTTTCGAAATCATGCTTTGTAAGTGAGCCAAAGACATAGAACATATTCTTAGAAGATAAATTAAAAAAATCTAAATGGATTGCATTTAATTTTAATTCTGTCGCCAAAGGCACTGATTTGTTTATTAATTTTTTCTTAAAAAAAATGAGACTCATGTTATTTCGATCATATTTCCGTTAATTTTGATTCTAAAGACTTTTAAGACAGCTCATTTTAAAGGTTTTTCAAAGTACTTTTTTAAAGGTTCAAATAGTTTTTTCCCTAAAATTTATGGTTTTGGCTTTATTTAACGTTAACTGGTTCCAATTTAGTTTTTAGCTAACATATAATAATGTTTAAAAATCCATAACTCGGTTTATATTGCAATTAGAGAAAAACAAAATAATACTATTAGATTTGTTTTTTTATTACCTTTCATTTTGTTCATTACAACTTTTTCGTTAAATCCAATGGTTTCAGAGTTATTTGCAAAAAACTGTCCGAAACCAAGTAGTTTTTCAGTAAAAAATCAACATTTTCAATGACGAATTACTCGGAAAGTATTGGATTATCTAAAAAACTTTATATAACATTTGTTACTTAAAATTGACTCCTCTATCGATTCCTGTGGTTATTTTAGGCCTAAAAATTTCCGCCCTCAAGAAGGGGTGGGAATCACCCCCAGGACAAAAGCACACTACGGCACTATGTAAGTTTTGTTCCTTGAGGCATTCCCCATATTCAGTCAAAATTTCATGTCAATCAGTTCAGTTATAAAGAATTCGGAGGCAAAAACCCTGAGTAACTGGACTATTAATAAACACCCGTGTAAAAAAATAATTTTAACAAAAACGTACCCAAAATCAATAACATACTTACTACTTCCGGAATATACCCACAGAGCATGTCGGCATCCACATCATTTACTGACGTAAACCCAGAGGCAACTACCTGCATACACAATCGACAGATCCTCTCGTCTTCTAATATAACTTTTAAATGTTCTTTGCCTGTTTCCTTTAGATAAATTTCTCCTAAGTCAACAGGTAATCCCCTTTCAGAGTCAACGTAAGGAAAAATACAGTCTTCGATATCCAAACAGTTCGTCTTGAAATTAAATGCGGCAAACAGCCTCATGAAACAGGCGTTGCATATTAGAGATTCGTTCTTTTCTTGCTCGATCTGAAATATGTAACGAAAAATCTCGGTTTTTTTTAAAATTACAGCGTATGCTGCTTTTATTACCAGCCCAGGTAGCAGAAAGTTCAAAATATCTCTGATAATTTCTTTTATTACCCTAAAATTTCCGTCACTTATAACACTGAGGCAAAGCTTGCAGAAAGATTTCCCTAACCTTTCCATTTTGGTCTTCAGCATTCAATATTCGCAAAGGAACCTAGAAAAGAAACACAAACAGAGTCAACATAACCTCAACGTATCCTTCAATCAGTGTAGCCACATGAATTTTTTAGGAAGCCCTATGGGAAGAACTAAGATCTGAACGAATCTTATTGAACAAATTAAATGAAAAGAAGTTTTAATTTTTTTTTTCCTTAGGAATGAACTAGATGTACCGTACCACAAAAAAACACGGTGTAACACATAGACCTTGGAAAATAGTTTGTAAAGTCTATGACGTAACCGTTATCCTCGCAAAAAAACGCGATAAAACAAGTGAAAATGAATTCATCATACTACTTGCATTATGCAGAGGGAAAACGCTAGTACCGAGTTTGCTCCTGGTGGGTGGACCATAAACTATTTTTTTTTATTGATCACTTTGTTCAGGATTCTTCATTTTTAGAACGTTGACTATGTTAAACTAACATTATCTGTGAGATAAATGTTGGGTAAATAAGGAATTATTTACAAATTTATTTATTTATCAAGAATTTACATTAGTATTTGGGACTGAATAAAATATTGTGGCAACGTCACTTCATTTTTAATCTAAATATGAAGAAATTCTGCTCTACATAATCCACTTTTTCAAAACTAATAATATGTAATAACATTTAATTAACATTAGAAACACCAAAATTAACAGGTAAATTCATAATTAGAATGAAGCCAAGTTACAATAAATTATATCTAAGTTATTAAGACTGAATATAATCTAAAGAAACGCCTACTTATCTGTACTTAAATGATACTAAGGTTTAGTATCATCTAGGCTCTTCGCATGGGCGTTTCTTTATATTAGGTTCCGTCTCGTTGGAAATTGTAGACTAAGTGGCACACGGCTCAGAAACAAGTTGTGTTCATCCGTCGCACTAAATGAGGTCACAATGCGTTACACGATTTAAACAAATGTAATTAATTTGTAGCATTACAGAAATTAAATATATATATTAAGTAGTTGCCTGTTATTAAATACAAATTTACGCAATCGTAAAATTAAACTTTCTTGCAAGTTGCCTGCTAGCAGGAATCAGAATCGAAAACATCTGAGTGTATACTCCTAAAGTAATTGTTCAAAAATAGAATTTTTTCGCTAAATCAAATGGAAAAAAGCGCTTAAAAAAAATTGACCAAGAGGAAATGGGGTTGAAATTATATCATTTCATCTCTAGTAAAATGTTTTTATTACATACACCTACATTTTTTCTATAATTGCATAGATTAAGTACTTATTTACATTTTTAAGGGATCCAAAGAAACTTATATTACGATCCTAGGTTATTCGCACACTTAAAAGCTGTATATCGACTTAATTCAGTATTTCTGGGTTTACTGGTGTTGTTAGAAATGAATCTGAGAAAGAGAGAAGTAGATCTGATTTTGTTACTAGCAGTTTGATCCAGATCGTAAAAAAAATCTGTCAGCCGACACCTGGATTTTTAAAATCCGTTGCTCTGACTCCAGCAATACTAATGAACAGATCTCATGTGTCTCATCAGATGTTGTGTAAGGTTACCCTTTTGAATTGTTTTATAATCGCACGAATGGCATCTAAACATCTGCTCTTCGGAGAAGCCTTTATGTTTTAACTGATGATGCACGAGAGCGCTCTTATAAACGGTTTTAAAGTCGCAAGAATCGCATTTGAACATATCCTCCTCGGGGATGCTTTTGTGTTTAAGCTCGTGCTTTTTAAGAGAGTTCTTACAGTCTGCTATATAGTCACATGAATCACATGTGTAGTTCTGCTTCTTGGAGAAGACTTTGTGCGTTAGCTGATGCCGTCTAAGATACTGTTTATGAACGGTTTTATAATCGCATGCGTCACATTTCAGCATGTGCTCTTCGAGGACATATTTGTGTAACAGCTGATGATTTACGAGGTTGCGCTTATGGATGGTTTTGTAATCGCATGAATCGCATTTCAACATCTGTTCTTCAGGGATGTCTTTATGTTTTAATTGATGTCGCGCAAGATTTTTCTTATAAATGGTTTTAAAATAGCAGGAATCGCATTTCAAGATTTCCCCTTTATGTCTCCGTTGATGTTGCGTAAGATAGCTCTTATAAATGGTTCTATAATCGCAGATATCGCAGTTATACTTCTGCTCCTTGGAGGAGACTTTGTGCGTTAGTTGATGTCGTCTAAGATACTGTTTATGAACGGTTTTATAATCGCACGAATAACATTTCAGCATTTCCCCGTTCAGTATGTCTCTATGTTTTAGTTGATGTTGCGTAAGACTGCTCTTATAAATGGTTTTGAAATCGCAAGAATCGCATTCCAACATCTGCTTTTTGGGAAAGTTGCCTTTGTCGGATGAACCACATTTCAACATATCTTTTTCGGGGATGTCCTTGTGGAGTACAAGACGTCTCTCTTGATTGTTTTCATAATCAGGATCGCCTTTAGAAGAATCCTTGTTCTTTAATCGAAAGTTTTTTCTATCCAATCGTGTCGATTCTTTTTTGGTATTATGCATAGAATTATTTGTAAATCCTGCATTTTCAGATTGGTACTCACTTTCATGGCCAACGAGTTCATCTTCTGAGGGAAAGTCACTGGAAAAATTGAAAATGATGCATAGTAAAACATTTTTATCAATAAATTTAGGTTAACCAAGTACCACGTGGCGTTTCATATAATCTAACTTAACAAAGGAATATTTCTTACACTCATTAATTGGCCAACAGAGGGTTAAGTATACCGTTTTTCATTATTACTGGCGACCGTTCAATAGTTTAAATTTATTTTTTGTACTTCGTTTTAGCACCCGAATAACTATTTTATATATTTATTGTTATAATTTCATATTTATGTTTTAAAAAATATCACGGAAAGTAAATATTATTCTTATATAATTTAATAAACATTCCAATAAAATATTTAGTTACTTCATATTTAAAAGTTCCCGCATTTAAGAAATAGTTCTCGATGGGCCCCCTTGGAGTGCTGCTTATGTTTAGTTTTTACCACCGAGTTACAATCTATAGTTTTCTGTCAACTGTGATTACAACTCGACATTAAAAAAGCTCCCCCTCACATTGATTCGGCGACTGAAAATTTACCTTATATTGTTAGATCAGTAGAAAAATGTTAAATGGTGGATAATTCAATAAAAAATGTAAGGTTCTTTAAACTTACTTATAATCTTCAAGTTTTAATTCAATTTCTTCTGTGAAAATTTGAAATGGACTTTGTATGGTTTTGTCACATGAAATATTTTTAAATTCTTCTTCCACTCTTAAACAATTTCCCAAAAAACGTGTGTGGGTGTCCAATGAATCGAGGCAAACTTTGCATATAACGGGTTCTCTGACGGAATTAAAGTTCTACAAGAAAAAATCCACTACAATTGTTATTTTGTGATCAAACGGATCAAGATGAATTAATTCATTCAATAATGTTGAAGGAAATTAGTTTCTGCAATCAAATAATGTACTTACTACTTCTGGAATATATATGCGGAGTGAATCAACATTTACTTCTTTTATCGACGTAAATGCACAGGTGACTACCTGCATGCACAGTCGACAAATCCTCTCGTCTTCTAATATATCTTTTAAATGTTCTTTGCCTCTTTTCTTTAAATAAATGTCACACAGGTTGACTGGTGCGCCCATGTCAGAATCAATGTATGGAAAGATACAGTCCTCCGTATCCATACAGGTTGCCTTAAAATGAAATGCCGCAAACAGTTTAGTGGAACAGGTGTGGCACATTATAGATTTGTCTCTTTCCGTACCGTTCTAAAATATAAATGAATCAAGAATGTTTAGCAATGAATCATGATGGTTTATCTTACTACTTTCAGCAAAAGAACCTCTAGGACTTGTTGAATATTTTCTCCAATTACAACGAAATTTCCATCAATGATATTATGGCAAAGCCTACAGAATGTTTCTTCCTTGTATATGCTTTTTTCAAACTTCAACATCTTAAAATTTTTTCAACATTGAAAACATTCGAAACTGTAATAACCTAACATGAACATGTAACATGAAACCACAGAAATCTAAAACAAAAACGACATTTCATTAGAGATGCGCGGAACAAGACCGCTCCGGTTCATTGAGTTGTTTCAGACACCAACTTTTTCGACATCCTCCTCCTGCCCGCTAACCTTTTATGTTCCAGGAACCGCTAGGATCAAGAAACGAAGACAACGACACACACACACACCCCATACCTTCCTTACCTCTCCCCTCCAGCGTTAGCCTAAGGGCCACCTTAGCAAAGCGCATCCCGGGCTGCATAGCCGCACTACTACTACCCTACCCAACCATACCACACATAAACACGGCACCATCCCCGGGGTTTACACAGACGAGCCGGCGAAGCAAGAAGAGCGCCAGAAGAAAGGGCCCTAGCCGGCGGGGCCCAGCCAGGACAAAAGGAGGTCCCACAAAGCGCCTACACCGGCCGCATTTGCGGTCGGGGTAGACGACGGATGGGGCCCACCTACGAAGGCTGTCCAGGCCTACACGAGATGAGGCAGGATAAAGAGGGATAATCCCTCTCGATCCCAAATCATTGAGGCCAATTTCTAGCCATGGAATAATGGCGCGGCGCGTACCAGTAACCATAGATCAAATACAGAACCAAAAAATAAATTATCTATGGTACAGTTGTAGAAATATTTTGTAGGTTAGCGCTATGCATGAGTGAGTATTTTTTTATAAAGCATTTTAGCATTAATGCTGAAAATCTGTAAAGCATGTACAAAGAGGAACCGTCCTGTAGGCTTTGCCTTAGTGTCGCGAACGACGAAAATGTCATGGTAATAGAAGAAACTATTGAAGAAGTTCTAGATGTTCTTTTGCTGAAATTGGTAAGATATATCGCTGTGATTTAGACATCAATTACTTCTATTATTTACATTTTAGAACGAAAGAGAAAAGAACAAATCTATAATGTGCAATGCCTGTTCCATTAAATTGTTTGCGGCATTCAATTTCAAGGCAACGTGTACGGATACCGAGGACCGTATCTTTCCATACATCGATTCTGAAACGAGAACGCCGGTCGACCTAAGAGAAATTTATCTAAAGGAAAGAGGTAAAGAGCATTTAAAAGATATATTGGAAGACGAGAGGATTTGTCGATTGTGTATGCAAGTGGTCACCAATGGATTTACATCGGTAAAAGAATTGGATACCGATACACTCTGTCAATATATTCCTGAAGTGGTAAATACATTATTTGATAGTTTGAAACAAATTTTTGTTTGAATTATGTTCATGTTCATTCGTATACCAAAAAAAAATGTTATTATATTCTCATTAGTAATATGAAGTCACACTTATCTATTTACTTTTAAATGTAATTGGAGTTTTTCTTGTAGAATTTGACTTCTACCACAGATCCCGTTATATGCAAAGTTTGCCTTGGTTCGTTGAACACCCATATGACTTTCTTAAAGGGCTGTTTTAATGTGGAAGAGAAAATTGAAAATATTTCTGACAACAAAACCATAGAAAGTCCGTTCCACATTCACTTAGAAGCTATTGAATTAAAATCTGAAGATCATAAGTAAGTCCAAAGAATTTTCAGTTTTTTCTTTACGTTTTTTTTATTCATTTACAATCATCTGACATGGGGACCATAACCGATCCCATTCCATAATGGTAATCAAATGATCAGAATGGTCTATTTCCTCTGTTATTCAGTGTTTTTAAAACCAATATAAGTATACAATTATCACAATAATTTACTTCATCTATTCTTTTTTATAAAAAAAGTAAAGTCAACAGTTTAGAGGAGCTTACTTATGAAAATGCATTTATTAAAATGCAAGAAACACACAAGCAAAACATAAACTTTGTAAATATATATTATAGTGTAAGATGTGGCTTGTCCGAGATGATTTGCTTTATTTGCAATTAATTTTAATAATATGGGAATGGTAATATTATTACATGGTTTGATCTATTTAGATATATCTTTAGAATTATGAAATGCCTAAAATATAAGAATTAAATTCACATTTTCAATTTTTGTATATGTATCTTAAATTCTGAGAAACTAAATCATTTTTTTATAAAGTGTTTGAAATTATAAAATATCAGTCGATCCGCGTCAATTGCCTCGTTATGAAACTACCCATTTTACACTAATAGTCCAGACGGTATCTGTTTTAAAGAGTCCATATTTGGGTGAATCGTATATCCACAGATATTTTTCGCTTTTTAGCTTTAAAATATCACTAGAAATGAAAATTTTTCTATGCGCATAAAAAAAACGTGGGCTTAGCTTTTGGTGGCACAATATGTTAAAAAAATTCAAAAAATGTCAATTTTTTCTTCCTATTTAATTATGTATCTTTTGAAGAGTTGATTTTAGGCGAAAATGGAAAAGGAAAAAAATGTTTGTAATTATATTTAACAAAATATGACAGTTACAAATCGAATTAATCATGATTATTATTGTAAAAATCGAAAAAATCGCCAAAACTGGGGTTAAAAAACATTACTTTCTACGGAATTTTCTTGGGGTCTTTAAGTTTGGTATAGGACCTTCATACTTGGCTTAAAGAAAGTTCATGTTATGTAGAATCATCACCAAATTTCATCAAAATCGGTTTGATAGATTTTGCATAATAATTTTGCAATCCAGATTTTGCAAAAAAAATTTGCAAATTTTCAAAATTTCGCACAGCAAAAACCAAGGCCCTCAGATACTTGAAAATTTAATCACGTATAGAAGGGCTCTCAAACTTTCAAACGCATTTTGAAAAATTCGAATCCGTCAGTTAGGAGAGCTCTGGCGTTTGTTTAAAATTTGATTGAATTTTTGTACTATAATTTTGTTTTTTTGTAATGAGTTAATTTCTCATTTGCTTATATTTTAAACAGTAAATAATATTTGAATTATACTTTAGTCACAAAAGAAATTATGATTAAATTATTAATTAGTTAATTACTAATTTTCGACATATTTTAAAAATAATTGTTGTTTAAACAATTTTAGAATATTTAAATAAATTAGTTTTTGATCTTTGATAAACAGTACATAAGTTTATGTACTTACCTTTGATACAATAAAAAAATAAAGTGGATAATTAAAGGAAGTTTAAAGATAAATAATTATCGGACTGTTGAAAGACCAATAATTATTAACGATAGGCATTTGAAAATACGCTAATGGTTTTTTAAATCGCGAGACATCGATTTAAAAAGAAAATAATCAAAATCGGACCTCTAGAAGCTGAGATATTAAAAATTTTTAAGCGTGTCGCCGTTTTGAACTCGCCGATTCAATTTCGATCAGGCCGAAACAGCCGCGCTCTCTGTTTCCCCCATCACCACCACCCGTACGATTTTCTTGAATTTCTCGCTTTCATAACTTTAAACGCGTTTTAAAGTAGGTTGCCAATGAAGAAAAGTACTGCAAAATTAGAACTGGTAAGTACTCTGAATACCAAAGGTATTTTTCGAAAAATTAGCCCGGATGTCCCAGTAGTGTAAATGATGGTTAACTTTGATCTGCTATAACTACGTAACTAATTGACCAATCAATCTGTTTTTTATTTAAAGAAGCGTATTTCCAATAACTTTTAAAATTGTTTTAAAAAATTTGATTTGATTGAATATTCACAAAGTTATTCTAATTGTTTATAAGTACAAAAATTAGACCAATGTTTAAATAAGCGCCAGAGCTCTCCTAATTGACGGAATTTTTCAAAAAGCGTTTGAAAGTTTGAGAGCCCTTCTATATGTGATTAAATTTTCAAGTATCTAAGGGCCTTGGTTTTTGCTGTGAAAAATTTAGAAAATTTGCAATTTTTTTTCAAAATCTGGATTGTAAAATCTATAGAACCGATTTTGATGAAATTTGGTGTTATGATTCGACATAACATGGACTTTTTTTTAGCCAAGTATGAAGGTCCCAAGAAAATTCCCTAAAAAGTAATGTCCATTTTTGCCCATTTTTGGCGATTTTTTCGATTTTTACAATAATAATCATGATTCATTCGATTTGTAACAAGTCATATTTTGTAAAATTTTATTACAAACATTTTTTTCCTCTTCCATTCTCGCCTAAAATCAACTCTTGAAAAGATACATAATTAAATAGGAAGACAAATATGACATTTTTCGAATTTTTTTAACATATTGTGCCGTCAAAAGTTAAGCCCACGTTTTTTTTTATGCGCATAGAAAAATTTTAATTTATAATGATATTTTAAAGCCAAATTGCCAAAAATCTCCGTGGATATACGATTCACCCAAACCAAAACAGATACCGCCTAGTCTATAAGCACACACTTCGGTTTTCCAAATAAAGGCCCAAGATCCAGAATAAACCTTTATTCAATAGGCAGCGATAATCGATTAGTTGTAATAGACAGTCTTTACAAAAGTAAATTCAAACAAAAATCTTTCTGACGCTGGCTGTTCTCACCGGCCTGCATTGATTCATACTGAACTGTTTATAGAAAAACATTCCTCAAATGGTAAAATCTCACTGAGTCGGATTCACAATTAAAGAACATTCTTTGATATACAGTACGATGGCTTTGACAATCCCTGTTTATTATGCATCACTTTAAATTTTTTCAGGTCTCTCTCGGAAGATGAACTCCTTGACCGCGCAAGTGACAGCCGATCTGAAAATGTGGAAGCCACAAACAATTCTATGCATAAGCATAAAAGGAAGCCATGTTTGTCAAAGAAAACTAAACGTCCCTTGAAACGCACGAATTCCTCTGAGAACCGAATATATAAATGTGACTTCTGTGATTATAAAACCGTTAAAAAGAATCTTCTTATCTGTCATCTTGTTCGACACCAAGACGTCCCCGAAGAGCAGAAATTCAAGTGTCATTTGTGCAATTTTAAAACCGTTCGCAAGCAAGCTCTTCAACGACATCTGCTGACACACAAGATCGTCCCAGAAGAACAGATGTTGAAATGTCACTCTTGTGATTATAAGACCGGTCAAAAGAGGCTTCTTGCATCTCATATGCAACGGCACGAAAACATACCAGTAGAGCGGATGCACAGATGTGACCGGTGCGATTATAAAACTTTGCATAAGAACCATTTTACGCGACATCAGCTTAGACACAAAGATATCCCCGAAGAACAGATGTTGAAATGCCCTTCATGCGACTATAAAACCGTCTTTAAGCAGTACCTTAAAAATCACCAGCTCAGACACACAGACACTTATAAATGCGATTTGTGCGATTACAAAACCTTCAAAAAGGAGTACCTTAGACGTCATCAGCAGCTGAAACACACACACGTACCTGAAGAGCAAATGTTGAGATGCAATTTCTGCGATTACAAGACGGGTGATAAATATTACCTCAAACGCCACCAATCAAAACACAAAGTCATACCGGCAGAACAGATGCATAAATGCGATTTGTGTGATTATAAAACCATTTATAAGCAAAGCCTAAAACAACATCAGTTGAAACACAAAATCTTCACTGAAGATCAAGTGCTGAAATGTCATTTGTGCAGCTATGAAACTGTTTATAAGAAGAGTTTTAGAGTCCATCAGCTCAGACACAAGAACATCCCCGAAGAGCAGATGTACAAGTGCGATTCGTGTGATTATAAAACCATTTTCAAGCCCTACCTCACACAACATCAACAACGAAAAACAACAAGGAAAAATATTCCTAAAAATAGGAAATTTGAATGTGACTCATGCGACTATAAATCTGTTTCTAAGAACAATCTTATGCAACATCAACTCAAACACAAAGACATCCCCGAAGAACAGATGTTGAAATGTTATTCGTGCGATTATAAAACCGGTCGAAAGGATCGTCTTGCACGACATCAATTAAGGCACCGACTCTTCACCGAGGAGCAATTCTATAAATGCGATTCGTGTGATTATAAAACTATTGATAAATATCGTTTTAAACGACATCTACTCAGGCACAAAGGCATCCTCAAAGAACAGGTGTACAAATGTGATTCCTGCGATTACAAAACCAGTCAAAAGAATTACCTTACAAAACACCAGCTGAAACACAAGGACATCCCCGAGGACCAGATGTTTAAATGCTGTTCATGCAGTTATAAAACTGTTAATAAATATCACCTTGCACACCATCAACTTACGCACAAGGACATCTCTGAGGAGAAAGGGTATAAATGTGATTCGTGCGATTTTAAAACTGATTATAAGCACTGTATGGTACAACATCAACTTAGACACAAAGAAATCCTCGAGATGTTGGAATGTGATTCCTGCGATTTTAAAACCCATTTTAAGGGTAATCTTGCGCGACATCAACGAAGACACAAGGCCTTCCGCGAAGGTGAGATGTACAAATGCGATTCGTGTGATTATAAAACCGTTTATAAGCCGTATCTTATACAACATCAACTGAGGCACAAAAACAACTCCGTGGGGTAGACGTATAAACGCTATCCTTGTGATTATAAAACTGTATACAAACGCCTTCTTGTGCAAAATCTTCAAACACAAAGACATCCCCAAAGAGAGGATGTTAAAATGCGATTTTTTGCGATTATAAAACCAATCAAAAGAAATATCTTGTAAGTCATCACTAGAGACCCCACATCCTTCGCACATCTCAGCTCCATACTTCATTCGACGATATCAATATTTAAATATTCATCCATTCTTCACAAAATAATAATAGCGCCGGCTAATCGACAAAAGCACCATGTTTATTTAACCCGCACGTGTCAAGGTCATGGTAGTCGGTCGACGGGCGGGGGAAACGGATTTCATTGCTATTACACGGGGCCGTTCAAGTCATGCAGCAATCATCAACATCATATCAGTTGCATGCTAATCATATGTAAGGAAACGTCGCGTCTTGTCCAGTAACAGTACGGTGTATATGCATATTTTTAATTATAAGTGTTAGTTTTTATTGTCTCTGTAAAAATGTCACGTCGGCTTCCCGCTCGCTCTACGGTCAAAAACTGGATAAAAGATTACCCCAATTTAGAATTCGACGGAGCAGAACTAAGGTGCAAAATTTGTGAATGCTTTATATCGTGGAATTATAAAACACGAATTGCGGAACAAATAAACTCGGAAAAACACAAAGCTCGCGAAAGTAACAGTATGACCACCAGTGAACGTCAAAAACAATTTAACGACGATTTGATAAAAGTCATGGTTGCGTAAAATATTCCAATGGACAAATTAAATAACACGAACTTTAGACAATTTTTGCAAAACTGCGTTAATGGAAAGTATAACAATGTCACCGTGCCTGCAGAATCCACGCTGAGAATAAAATATTTGCCAGCAGTGTACGATTACGAAGTTAAAACAAAAATAATTTCTGAATTAGACGACAAACATATTTGGATTAGCATTGATGAAACTACCGACTCACGTGGTCGGAATATTGTAAATGTGTTGGTGCGAGGGATGGATGAGACTACAAAAATGCCAGCACGTTTATTATAGTCATAAGTTATAGAACGGGTGAACGTGGAACTCTTCATTGCTGAAGAGCAGACACAATACGTATTTCTGACATATAAAAAAAATGAATATTCCGCACTATTATTTCAGGGCTGTGACAGTTTCATTCAACTGATTTAATTCGTAATTTAAATTATTTGAAACAACTGATTTCTATTTTATTTGAATCACGATTTAAGTCGAGTCATTTTAGTTAATAATTTCGATAGAAGGCTTTAAGTATGGGAATAACTCTTACGACAGTAATATAAGTTTCTTTTTATTCTTTGAAAAGGTAAATAAATGCAAAATCTTTATATAAATATAAATAATTGTATGTACTTCCTTATCCAATTTGAAATAAAAATATTTTATTGTATGATATTTGCCTTCCTTTGGTGTTACATATACATACCAGGTGTCTGCGAAAGGCTGAGGAATCTTGAAGCTGGATAAAATTTCAAAAACCTGAACACGTTTTGATTTCATTCTAAAAAATGGTAATGTAGACTTACCGATATACCGATATAATATACTCCTTAAATTCCTGAAAAAGGCAAAGACGACTTTTTATGAAGTTTTCGAAAATGATGGTAGACAAACAAATGAAGTTCAAACAAAATGGCCGCGGATGTTAACTTTGTTAATTTAAATGGATCACCCTGTATATTTTTACATATTTGGATAGATCGTTCCCTGCCGAACACAGTCATGGTCATGGTTTGTTGGGTCCATCTCTAATAATAAGGGAGATAATATTAAAAAACTAATAGAAGGTTTTTTATTAAGAAAATAAGATATTTTGTAATTGTTGGACATCTTTCAGGCATTTCTGCCTTTTTTCCAATTATGTAAGTATTTGGTTTTATTTGTAATATATTTTGACATATCGAACATTGATATGGTCCAAAATGGGTATAAGTATTTTAACTAAATCTCACTAATTAGGCCGTGAGAGGCCTATTTACTCATGGACAATGTTATATGGTAGGCCGTGACAGTGGTTGTGGTAATATTACGACAACATTGTTATTGTTTGACAGTTTGTATTATTATTTAATTAAAATGGGTCACACAGAAGTAGAAAATTGAAATATAGGAATTAAAATAGAGTAATTAAGATATTCTCCATACTTTATTTTAATTCCTAATATTTCAATTTTCTATTTCTGTGTAACCCATTTTATTTAAATAATAATACAAACTGTCAAACAATAACAATGTTATTATGACATTACTACCTGTCACTGTCTCGACCTACCACATAACATTGTCCATGAGTAATTGGCCTCACACGGTCTAATTAGTGAGATTTAGCATTGTATAAGTAAATACTTATACAATGGATTTAGTTAAATACCTATACGCATTTTGGACTATATCAATGTCCGATATGTCAAAATATATTACTAAATCTAAATCCTTACGTAAAAAAAGCATAAGTGCCTGAAAGAGGTTTAACAATTACAAGATGTCTTATTTTCTTAATAAAAAAACATCTTTTCGTTTTTTAATAATATCTCGCTTATTGTTAGAGATGGACCCAACAAACCCTATATGGCTATGCTCGATAAGGAACGTTCTATCCAAATATGTAAAAATATACAGGGTGTTCCATTCAAATTAGCAAAGTTAACATCCGCGGCCATTTTGTTTGAACTTCATTTGTTTTTCTACCATCATTTTCGAAAACTTCATAAAAAATCGTGCAAATTTTGTATTTCACATTTTTTTATAACTCTTAAAACAAAAAAGTTAAAGGGGGGTCAAAATATAGTGAATCACCCTGTACATGTTAGCTTTGTTTCTAGTGCATTGCAAACAGTTTCCAACAGTCGGAGCCAATCGCATTTGATTTAAAACAACGGATTTTTGACCTTATGAAAGCTTTATACCACAATGCCCATGTGTTTGATTGTTGGTAACTTTTTTGGAACAAATGTAGTAGTTTTTAATGATTCACACCAATAAAGAACAATGATTAATATCAAAAGACACATACTGAGAGCAACAAAAAATTGAGACCTTTATACATTTATATAATAATTAACATTTTTTAGTTTTTTTTAAAATGTAATTTTTTGGATTGCCACCGGCTTGCAGAAGAAACCTGCAGAGAACATGCAGGAAAAGAAAAACGAGTTAGTTGATATTTGTTGCAGTCAGAAAATATGTCGATTGTGTTTGCAGCCAGTAACAAGTGAGTTTATGTTTATACGTGAAGAGGAATTCGAAGCTATTCAGAAATTGACTCCTGAAATGGTATAAACGATATTAAATATTTGCATTATTCGCAATTTAATTCAATAATTTGCAGAATATAAATATCGTCAAAGATCCGGTTGTATGTAAGGAATGTTTTGATTTCCTGTGTACCCACAACAGTTTTCTTAGAGAATGCTTAGAAGTAGATGAAAAAATTAGTGGTGTTTGTGATAATTCAGCTACAGAAAGACGGCTAGATACATCGCCATCTGATTTATTCGTTAAGACTGAAAACCTGGACAAAGAATTCGATATTAGCGAAATGGAAATGTCGATCAAAACTGAGTGTGTCGACATAAAATCTGAAGATGAGGAAGTAAGGTAAGAGGAAACTACTTTAACATTAATTTAAAAAGTGGTGCAGGGCCTGGTGGTACTGTCACGGTTTATACAACAAAATGAGTGCGTAAGTATATCGTTCAATTTTTAATTCATATTGGCGTGTCACCAAAAAGGAGTCTTATCGTACTCATGGAAGCAATCAATTACTGTGCCAGTTTATGAGATTGGTGTTATACAAATTGTAACAAATTATAGGCTTACATTGGTTATAAACAATGATGCAAAGATTTTTGACCGATCAAAAGCTGGGTTAATAAATTACATGGAAAAAGTATGAGATCTTGACACATCAATCAGTATGGCTTTAGGTTGAATTTGGATATAAAGGATACTTTACCAGTTTTCATTAAAGAACTTATTTGCAAAATAACAAAATTTCAATGTTTTATTTTCATTTTTAATAAATATAATATGGGAAAGTTTTTAAGTTCATCAATGGAAAATGCCCAGTTATCAAAATTTCAATAAAAACTTTATAATTGTATTGTAAATGTTCTTGTGTTAAATTTAAATAAATAATATAATTTATGTGTCTTGTTGCCTATTTAAATTAGCTTAATTTGATAAATTTTGACTTGAAATTTTGCTCATTTGGTCATAAAAATCACAGTAAGTACCATTTTCACAATGATAATTATTTCTTCTATATTGCACGAAGAAGCCGGCTCAGCTCATCTAACCACAAACATTTGGTAAGCTTGTGTCACACCCAAAATTTAATCTTCGTTTTTCAAATGCACACGGATAACGTGTACTGTTCGGTTATTAGATGACATATTCAAGTTCTCTGGGAGCACGTGATCAAAGCTCTGACAGAAACTTTCACTTCAAAACTTCAAATGGAAATGATTGAGCTATTGTGTTAGCGACATTCTTAAAGATAAATATCAGAAATTTTCATTAATATATGTAAAATTTTATCGGTGTTCCACTGACAGTTTCTGTTCCACATTAAAACCCACACAAAGTCTCTAAAATATATTTAAATGCAAACTTATGTGCCAAGTTGCTTTGTTTTGCCATTGAACGGCATCAAAGTTGGCAAAAATTATTGATTTTACTCCATATTCTTTAAAACAGATTTGTATGATTTAAATGGAATTTTGAACGCAATTTTTTCAGTGAGGCGCCACTGGAGACTTCCAATAATGAACCATACCAGAAGAGTGATTATAAAGATGCGGAAGAGGATGGATGTAAAAATGAGAATGGATCGGAAAACAAATGTAAAACGAAAACCAAGCAGGAGTGCAGAGTATTGTACAAATGTGATAACCATGTTTACCAAACTGGATGCAAGAGCAATGTTACAGAGCACAGTCTGAGACATGAGAACAATTCAGAAGGGTATAAATGTGAATCCTGTCAGTACGAAAATAAGAATAAGAAATTACTTCAAAGCCACCGGTTGAGACATAAAGACCTCGCATCGGTCAAAATGTACAGGTGTAAGAATTGCGATTACCAAGCTAAATACAAGAGTCACGTCGAACGGCACCAACTGAAGCATAAAGATCCTTCACAGGTTCAAATGTACAAGTGTAAAACCTGCGATTACGAAACTAAATGCAAGAGTTATATCGAACAGCACCAACGGAAACATAAAGATCTATCTGAGGTCCAGACTTACAGGTGTAACTACTGCGATTTCGAAACTAAATATAGGAATAAAATCAAACAGCACCAACTGACACATAAAAGTTCTTCAGTGGTGTACAGGTGTAACTACTGCGATTATGAAACTAAGTACAAGTATGTTATCAAACAGCACCAACAGAAATGTAAAAATCCATCTGAGGTCCAGACTTACAGGTGTAACTACTGCGATTATAAAACTTATTACGAAGGTAATATCAAAAAGCACCAACTGAAACATAAAGATCCTTCACAGGTTCAAATGTACAGGTGTAACGATTGCGATTATGAAACTAAGTACAAGTATGTTATCAAACAGCACCAATGGAAACATAAAGATCCATCTGAGGTCCAGACTTACAGGTGTAACAACTGCGATTATGAAACTGAAAGAAAGAGTAATATCAAATTTCACCAACTGAAACATAAAGATCCTTCGCAGATTCAAATGTACAGTTGTAACAACTGCGATTTCAAATCTAAATACAAGAATAATATAAAACAGCACCAACTGAAACATAAAGATCATTCAGAGGTTCAA